CTGTAACTCTGCCAGTGTAGACATACCCTCCTTTACCCTCTTCCTAAAGATGTACAGGAAGCACCTTCAGCTATCAAAATATTCCCACTTCTTTCTCTACTCTGTTTGCTTTCAAATTTTTCATTCTCTGACTGACAAAGAACAAGACTGAAAGTAACACACAAAAGAAGAGGAAAAATATAGACTATGCTTCCCCAAAATTAATATTAATGTTAAATGAGAAACATGATGCTGCCACTTGGTGGCAGCAAAGGTGAAAGATGAGGAAAAAAAGCACTTGCAAGCATTGAACAGCTGGCTGAGAACTGTTCCAAGTGGAGTCACTGATACTTAGAGGTCTGCTTTTGTTTAGGTCTTCAAAATCAGGAGCTGTAGCAACATTGTCTAATGAAAGACGTGCAGTGCATTTATCCGTGTACTTACCAAGCCTGAAGAAAGGAGCCCGCATAACCCCTTTCACAGTGATAGGCACGTTACCCAACTGGCTGCCCTTTGGCACTATGATGTAAATGAGGCCACCCCAGAGAGAGAGACAGACATCTACGGATCTTCAATGCTGTGCTTGCATATCACCACAGGGGCACGTCTTAGTCCTGTTCTCCATTGCTTTTTCCAGTCCAATACTAAATGACTCAAGCAATTGGCACTTCTTAGAAATGTATTTCCCCTACAGGATTGTAGGGGAAGTTTACCCTGGCTTCTGAAAGGGATGGACGGAAGAAAATGGACGACACCTAACCCAATAGCCATTGTATATTGAACTTATGGTTAAGGATAAGATTTTGTCATGGAGGTCACGGATTCTGTGAAAGTCACAGATCTCCGTGACCTTTGCTGCTTCAGCCCTAGAGCTCTGAGCCGCCGCTGCAGTCCCCACAGCTGTCAGCAGCCATCACAGGCAGTAGGGGGCTGAGTGGTTAGTCCCCACCCCCAGAAGTTAAAAAAAAAAGGCGGGGGGAGTTCTAAGTGTCACAGACAGGTCACAGGCTTCTGTGAATTTTTGTTTGTTGCCTGCAACCTGTCCCTGACTTTTACTAAAAGTAACTGACAAAATCTTAACCTTACGTATGATTCTATGAACACCAAGCAATATTCTAGGTGTGGTCTCATCAGGCTCATGGAAAGCAGTGCTATTCTTTTGCATGTTCTACAGAGGATACCACCTGTGGGTGGTAGTGAATGGAGAGCTTCTTTCCCCTGGGTTTATGCCGTTGACTTCCACAGTGATGTGAGGGATAGTGGGGAGTTCACAGGATGTTAGCCTAGCACAGTCTGGCAGGGTCTGGCACAGCTCTGTGGCCAGACACAGGAACACTGCCTCCTTGGACCTGTTTGGGACTCTGCATTCCTTGCACACAGGTGGGATCCCATTGCTGTGCAGTGTCGTGTACAGGATACTGTGGAGTGAGGAATATGTGGGGCCACCGCTGATGGAGATTTGGAGGAATTCCATGCAGTCCTGCCCCAGTTTCTGGAGCCAGCCCGGCTAGGTGCTGCTGGAATTGAGAGAGCGCCCTGCAGAAGTGGTAACATTGTGGCTTCTCTGCCAGTTGTAATACTGGGTATTTACCTACCTCCATGTATTGCCCCAAGATGCTGATTCCAAACCGGTTGAGGATTTTGTTGCCAGGATATTCAGCGATAGCATTCTGGTAACTATTTTGGGAAGCCCACCAATAAGCCTGACCTCCAATCAGCAGGCCCCCCTCTCTCTGCCACAAACTCATGGATCTTCTTGGCCTCTTTGTCACTCTAGGACTGGCAACAGTAAATGCTCAGATTGTCAGTCAGAGCTGAGATCTCGCACACCATCTTCTGCTGAGTTAGCAGGTCATGGAGGCTCTTTAGGTTGGGGTGGATGCTAATTCTCCCTTTCTTCTCAGCACCTAGTCACATAATGGCATTGAGAAGGAATGGCATCAGCTGCAGCACATAAGTTTGGCTCTCATGCGTAGCTACTACCACGGGGCCCTGGATGTAGTGAGCCACTGCAAGAAAACACCAGTAGGAGCCATCCATGCCAAGAGGGAAGGCCAGAGCCCCATGGACGAGCAAATGAGAGGGTGCGCCACCCATCACTACGTTTAGCTCAGACACACCCCTCTTAAGAGAAGCTTTAAGTGCCTGCAGAGATCTAGCCCATGTCTGCAAAACCAAGAGAGGTTACCATCAGGCAAAATGCCAACACTAGTATAGAATCATCTGAGCTGAGACATGAGTCTGGTTCACCCACCCTGCCCACAGTAGGATCAAAATATCCTTCAATCAGAATCACCTGGCTGCCTAAGCCTGTCAGTTCAGCCCTGACAAGGTAATGCCCTTCTGAGCAGTCCTCAGTTCTGCTGGAGATGTTTGAAAAGAGTGTGCACCTAAATCCTTCCTCTTTCTTAGCCACACCCAGCACCAAGCTGGCCCTTCTCTCATTCCACCCAAAATATCCATTCCTTTTCTCCCCAGCAAATCTGGTCTATTTTTTTCCATTTATGAAAAACCAAAGCCTGCTTTTTTTTTTAAACTCTTTACTGTGCATCATCATGATGTGGCTGTTACATGTCATTCATTCTTGCCCTTTACCTTCTGTTATATGAAATGGCCATATGTGGGGAGCAGTTGGTGAGATGCAAATGACTGACATGGTAGCAGAGATAAAAGGAATGAGAGAGGTGAGGAGATATGCTTTTCACTAAGCAATTCAGCTCTTCAGATATCTGAAAACACATTGCTTTGAAGCATAGCAGTAAAATTGGCTGAGTTATATTCCCAGAATTACATGTTTTAAAATGTGATCTTTATAAAAATATTTTTGGAGCACAAACACAGAAGTGTGAATTGCAATGCTACTGCAAAAAAACTGAAAAGATGAGTTTTGTTTCAGCCACAAGTTTCCTATGCAACTTTTGTCAAGTCACTTAGTCTCTAGTCTTCACTTGTTTCAATGGCAGATAATCACATATGGTTTTCCAAGCATGAGAACTTTTTAAATTCTTCACCGCAGAGAGCGCTCTGCCATAAATTTAGTGGGTCTTCACTAGACCTGCTAAATTGATGCCCGTGGCATCGATTGCAGCAGTGTCAATCTCCCTGTAGTGAAGACCAGCCCATAGAATGGGACCTCAGGCAGAAGCTTGGCTGTTGAGGCCATCATGTCTCCATTAATAAACCACACAGAGTCTGAACTCAAACCCTGGTCCTACAGCAACAAGAAACAAAATGTTTCTAGCACTTGTGCTATAAGAGTATCTGTTAACCGCCACCTGTGGAAGGTTCCTTATGTGCAATAAACTGCAACTGTGCTCGCTCGTTCTCTCTCTCACACATGCCTACCTATCTTGAGCCTGTTTTTCAGAAGCCCTCTGAAAACAAGGCGCATGCTGCCCAATCTTACTCTCATTGCAGTCAACAGCAAAAATCAGTGGGAGCAGGACTGGACCCCCTATATTATCCCATCAAAAATGTACAACTACATTGTGTAATTGCAATGTATTTTTTTTCCAAATATAGCTAGCAGGTGAATCTTTAAGGAGAACTAACTATGGAAAATTTTAAAGGGGCGCTAGCCAGCTATTTTTGAGCTAGAGGGGAAAAGTAAACTCAAATTGAGGTAATTTTTGATGACTTGTTATTAAGAAAGAGTTTCACCAATTTCCTTCAAACTGTGGAATTTTTAAAAATTTATTTATTGCCTTCAGTGACTGTACAGTATTTTTCAGGCCAAACAGATTTTCCATCTTGAAGTTATAAGGATGTTAACAAAGAGCTTTATAATGGAAGCAGACTGACACCTTCATTATGGAGAGGCTACATAATATTTTACAGTACTTTTAGTGATACCTTTAAACATGTGTAGAATGGTTCTGATACTCATGGAGTGATCAGAGGAATCACTGACACCGTTCCTGAGACGTCAAAGATCCCTGTCTCAGCATATCTGACTGTGAAGTACATGACAGCTGCACGGGTGACACGGTCCCAGGGAAATCAAACAGCGCTCTCTCTGGGCTGTGCTCATAGGCCCAAGGCCAAGCCTGACGCCTAGTGAGCAACCTCCCACCTTTCTTTACAAACTGGATTAGGTCCCTCATCTGTGTATCATCATAGCCATCTGTACAATAAATGCCGAGTGAGGAAGTGACTGCAGAGCAGGGCTGCATTCTAGTGCCAGACCTAGGGAGAGCTCTCATGGAGATTCAAGTTGTTGTGGACCCCCCACTACTGCTTGGGGGGAAGATACTGAGCCAGGTGACAGCATTTTAAAGGAACTGAGCCATCTTGGTCTTCCCCAGGTATCCCTTGTGAGCTACCAGCACTATCCAGCCCTTCCCATACTGCGAGGTAGCGATCAGGACCTGCCCCTGAGGGTTCACCAGCACTGGGAAGGCGGTCTCTCCGATGAGCAGCAGCTCACAAGGAACACAGTCACCAGTCAGGTCCCAGGCCTGGACACCAGCCACCAGCAAATCATAGACAGCAGAAGGATCCATATGAGGCGTCTTTCTGTCTAGAGTAGACACCATAATAAAAACACATTCACACAAGATCTGGTCCTCCTTTTCCAGGTGTGGCCTGGCTGTGCCACAGGCCAGGATACAATGCTATAACCACAAATCACAGCCAACATGCCTCTTCACTATCTGCAATGCCTACCACACTATCATCCCCTTGAATCCTGAACTCTGTGTACCAGTACCAGAGAGTCAGCACTAAAGGCAAACGTATGCTGCACTGGGGCATAGAATCGGAGGACAGAGTGTTGTGTAGCTTATGTAAAACTCTAAATGAGCCATTAGTTCATATTTAAATACAGAATGGACCTTGCATGTACACGCGCATATACCTATTCCCCCCCTTCCTAGTCATATTATATATATTTTAAGAGACACTTGCCAAGTTCAGGGCTGAACTAAAAGCTATTCTTTCTGTGCAACTTCTCTTTTGAATGCAGCTGACAAACAGAGTTTTATCTCAGAAATGATGTGGCCGTATTTATGCTTTTTCTCCAGCAAAATTGCTCACCCATTAGCAATTATTTTAAACAGTCCCAAGATCAAATTAAAAAATATATCAAGAGAATGCTATGAAAAGTGAGGAGATAGAGATGTGAACAACCGCTAGAATAGAATTTGGGTACAGAGTTCAGAAACTTGTAAAACATACCCACAAAACCTTCATCCCACTAACCGAGAACGTAACAGCCTGTCAATTAACAGTTCCAGTTTTTAAAAGTACATTTGGGGTGTAAGTCAGAATTCTCTGCTCTTACACTGTGGTCACATTTTGGACCCACTCCATACACATGTAAGTTACTTTCCACTGAACTGTACGTTGTGCAGTCAATGCCCATTGTTTAAGTCACTCCTGAATAGGAGCTAGTATTTACCTAGTGATAGAGCCAGTGCTTCAGTTAATCCCCAACAAAACAAATATCTTAATATTTATACTACATCGGGTACTGAATGAAATGGAAGACCTGCTAATCAGTAGTAAGTTTTTGCTATGCTTTCAAGGAATATGGTTTACACCCTGTAGATTCAGGAATTGTTACCAAGCCCCTATAAAATCTTCCACAGCAAAGTCCTATCAGACAGCAGCAGCTAATTTTAAAAGCTATTGTCCAGTAGAGGAAGGGTAAAAGTATCCAAAAGCATGTAAGCAACTTTGGAGCTTACTTCCCATTTTAAGAAGCGACTTCTGCTCCTACATCATTTAAAGTCACATTTGAAAATGGGGTGTAAGCTCCAAAGTTATAGGAAAGTTTTGGAAATTTTTACCCCCAACGTAACAGGAAAAGCATAGCCTTGGTGAAAAACTGCATTGTTTAAAAGGGTGAGAAATGACGAAGCATTAAAACTGCAGCAAGCAGGTTTGGAGGAGAGAAATCATCAGTAAGGCTGCAGTATTTCTTCAGATAAAATTCCTTGTTTTTCAGCTGCATTCAAAAGAGGTTGTACAGAGAGAATAGGTTTCAATTCTGCTCTAAACTTGGCTGTGTATCTAATATAGTTAACAAAGGAGGAAATGGGTGTGTATGTGTATACATAAATACACACACACACACAGTCTTACATACAGACACCAAACCAAACCTTTCATCCAAGAACTTACTATTTTCACAAACAGAAGAGGGTTCTCTCCTGGCCTCCGGCTCCTATGTCAACTTCCAATTCAGCACACTAGCTTCTTTTCTGGCCAAAAGTTACTCACACAAATAATCCCACTCAATTGAATGGTTGTGGTGCGTGCTCAACATCTCTGAAGATCAGATCATTTGTGTGTCTTCCTTACCTTTCCTTTAGGTGTAACATCACCAGCTATAGTAGGGGAAATCTAGAGTCCTGAACTCAGGTCCTGGCTAGTAAGGAAGAGAATAAATTATTTTCCAAGTAATTTGTTTCAGAAACATATAGATTTGTTATTTTTAGGTCTATACAGTGTTCTTTTAATTATTCTGAGTCTTTTTAAAAAAAAGTATTTCCTGTAAGACCTTTGTCTTACAAATAAAATAAAAATAACTACAAATTCACAGCAAGCCACCTAGAACAATAAAAGGAATAGGTCTAGGATCCTGAATATTGAGCAGGAACCTTGAATATATAGTAGGTCACTTCCACAGTTTCCAGTTGTTCCTATTTACTTTCTTCAGGAGAAAACAGCTATTTGGTGAGAGACTACTTAAGACACCTAGTATGGTTAGGTATTTCTGTTTCCTCAAACTGCAGCTACTGATAACAGCCAAGAAGGCATCTCAGCTCAGCACTGGCCAAGGACAGCTGGCTTACCTCATAGCTACTGAAAATATTCAGAAGGACTTTTGTAAAGTCACATGAGCTTATGATCCAAGGAGCAGGTCATACGCCAAAGTGAAAGAAAAATTAAATCCCCACCCTTCCAGTAGAAGTGATTAACACTAGGTCTCTTGAATCTGAAAATTTTGTGCAAACAGGAGTGTAAGCTGCTGTCCTTTATTGACTCCTTGTCGGAATTACAAGCTCTCCAAGTATGTTTTGGAATCTGGAAGCAGGTGATCTGACTTCAGAATCAGTAAGCATCAATCTAAATCAGTCATTCAGAATTCTGTCCCTGAAACTTCTGAAATTCAGTGTTATTTTGATATACACAAAGCAACCATGTAATCTGTCTAAATCACTTTAATTGTAGGTGAAGGAAAAACAAGAAATCAGAACAGAAAAGTCAAATCTCTAGGAAAGCATGTGAACAGGGCATTTTTCTTCCATAACACCTTGTCTCACCTTTTGTCCGAAAAATGGCAGCTGCCTCTACAGACAGAGGACTTCTAGTAGTGTCCGAGCACACAATATGGTCTACTCATGATTTTAGAGATAGTCTCCTATTTGGTGTTTTTCTTAATGCCCCAGAGTCATGTGACTGTGAGAATCTCAGCTTTTGTTGGGGAAAATTCCCCCCCCCCCGATCTTTTCTCCCTAACTACAAGGGCTAAAAACATGAATCCTAAAAACCACAAAGTAAATAAATAACCCTAAATGTATTTTTTTAAGCTAATCTCAATTTTGAGAGGGTCTGACTCATGTTTTTTTAAATGTTCAGCCTTGGCAGTACAGATAGCAGTCGGACAAAGGCCTAGGTGTGTCTTACTCCCACGCCACTCTTTGCAGCTGTAGTAGTTTTTAATACTTATTTTTAGTGCTGTGGGAGGGCTGCATGTATGGCATGGCTGGAAGCATCTGACAGGATGAGCACTTAGTGCATCTTCGTGACCCCACACAGTGCTATCAGAGACAAGAAGCATGCACAGAAAAAACTGAAGATGTAAGTTTGATGCAAGAACAGGAATTCATGAATCTATTTAACTTAATCTAAAACTAACAAAGCAAGGAACAGATTTCTCGATAAAGAAACAAAAGCCTGTTAGCTAAATGAAGCGTTTTGATGCTATCTAGCTGCAGTAATTTCTTCCAACTAGTCATCCCCACCTTTAAAAGAGAATGGGGGAAAGGGGTAGCTTTTTTTTTTTTTTCTTTAAAAAAAAAGATCTCAGGATCCTCTTCCCTCACAGATCCTTTCCTGCCAAGGTAATTCTTTCTTAGTCACCCTGGAGCCCTCCCCTATATAAAGGGTGTGTGAGAGGAGCATAAACTCCCTGGTAAATTGGACAGATCCACCCCATCCCCTTACACCTTGAAGAATTTTAAAAATAAACAAACAAACAGCCATAGAGCTGCACCTCACATCCTGTTACAGTTGCTGACAGCTGATTTCCTCCAATTGCCAGACCAACCATGCACCACCCAGCATGCCCAGAATGGTCACTGAAACGTGAGGTCATGGGGGACAAGACTAGTAGCAGTGGGAGATACACTACACTCTTGTTCTAATTCCGGTTCCTCATTGGGTGGTTGACGGTTACCTTCTACAATGTTTTCATTTACATCATCTTCCCATGAATAATAAAGACTGGGAAGGGACATGGTCACTCAGCTTACATGTCTGTGCTTTTCCCTCCTTTTCTTGGCACCTTTACCCTGTAACAGCTGGTCAAGATGTTTCTTCATTATCTCCCCTTTTACTTCTACCAGACAAGGCACTTGGTTTCAACAAGAATATCTAAGTGCAGGGTATTAAGTACAGTGGCGATCCTGAACTGAATCTGACCAGCTGGTCTGTACTATGCTTTTGGGAATAGTGGATCTAAAAGTTCTGTCAGTGGTCAAGGGCACAGCAGCTGAACATTGCCAGGCTAAATATATATATTTAAAAAACACACACACGTCGTTTGTACATTAATGCAGCACTATTGACTTCAGAAGAACTGCACTAATTTAGACCAGCAGAGAATTTGGCCCTAATAATGGCAATGCTAACCGTGTACGGAGAGATGTGTATCCATGTACATACACCTATTGGGAAACAGATTTTTCGTGCTAGAGTTGCCAGTGTGTTGGATTTGCCATTCGAAGAAGACAGCTGAGACTGAGCATTAGTACAGTCACTTCAGATGTTTAAAGAAAAATCAGGGTATGTGACAGATGCTGCCATATTTCTTGGGTATTTTTACCGTGCATATTTCACACATTCCTCCCCATTTAAAAAGGGAGAATTAAAAGTTCAGTTCAGCAATCACACTTTTCCATTAGTGACTGAAGAAATCCAGTCCCTGTAGGCAGAAATTCGGGTATAAACCGTTGGTGACGCTGGATGGCAATTATCACTGCCCCAGCTCACAATGCCGATCAGCTTATAATACCCATTTTTCATGCATATCAGTGGCCCTCCAGAATCTCCCTGTAAAAAGGGGGGGAAAAAAAAGTTACTTGCTGCTACTAGAGAGTAAAGAGGGTTTTTTAATCAGATCACAAATATTTAGATCAGCTGAGTTACCAGGGTCCTGTTTCAAACTCTGACCTTCAACGATATATTAGTGGTGTCACCACAGTGCCCAGGAGCCCATTAGGTAAGCTACATTTTTGCCACCAGTAGTAGCCTGGAAAGCAAGTATTCATATCCCCCACTCCAAGTACATACCGAGCACGCAGTTGCTCCAGCAGCTCCACCACAAATGTTGGTATTTTTAATATCCTGTCCCCAGTAGCTCACACAGGCCTCGTTGGAGAGGAGAGGTATATTTGTCTGCTGCAGCCTGATGGAGTATTCATCCTCTAGTGAAAACAAAGGATGCATAGAGACGTGCCATTGAGGCAGGATGACAAGAGGTTACATATTTAAGACATGTACTATGTCAGTTATCCTCTAACCTTTTCAGCCAGGCCAGGCATCTCTTGACACTACAATTTGGGGATTACTATTGCAGAAATTATTTCCATTTACACATAATTTTAGAACCTTGCATCATTTCATATGCACATTCGACACATTGCATGGAATGAGATTCCATGTGTGTCTTCAGAGAACAAGAATTCCCCTCCACTCACACAGGCAGGTATAACTCACTGCACCGGTGTCATCAGCTGGGTTTGAACCCTGGATCCCAAGAGCTAAAATTATAGCTGAGGGTCAGCTGAGCTAAATCATGAACTAAGTCCATTCACTGGAAGCACTATAGGGACCAGCCATTGAATGAGGACAAAGCCCCACCCTCCTGTAGCACAGTTACAAATGCATGCAGTGAGCCAACAGAACACCGAGAGTATGTTAATAAACCCTTGCCAGGAAAAAGTCAGGGGAGAACCCCCCACAAAAAAACAAACAACTTTCCTGGGCCTCTTGTACTATCATTCAAGAACAATTAGGGGTTTAACACCAGCTCCTCCACCCCCAAGTGGAGATCATCTAACACCACCAAAATACCAATTGACAAGGGTTAAGGAGATCAGAGGCATCTAGATACCATGAGAATTGTCTCACCACATTCAAGTTTGTTGTTACCCTTTCTCTACCCTATGTTTTAACAGGGGGAGGTTTCTGGGACAGTCACTATGCCTTCTTTCCTGTTTAGAAACAATGTGGACAATATTGGAAGCAAAAAATGAACTGAGTTGAAGGCAACAAGCAACTAAGCTCTCACAGGGCTCTGGACTTCAGGGTTTTCTTTAGTATTAGAAAAGTAACATGTACTTACTGCCTGATTCTGTTGCTCCCCATCCTGCTGTTAAGCATCTTGCATCAATGCTTATTTCCTCATCTCTATCTGGTAAGCAAATTATTGCTATAGAGTCTCCTGAGTAGAAGAGAATCAGGTCAGTATTTGGTATACCTTCCCTTTTTTTATTTAACCCATCTCCAGTTTTTCTAACCCCCTTTCTCCTAGTCACCACTTCTCCCCAAACCAAACAACTCATTACTCCATGAAACAAATCAGAGCACCATATGGGCTCTAGTTAGATTCCACACCCCCCCAGACTGTCTGAAGGCCTGAAAGAACCATTTTAAAAAGGTCACAATTACATGAAATGTGAGTGTCTCACGATATTTCTCTGCCCAGTGACCATACCACAAGATGGCTGACATTACTTTGGTCTGATAAAGGAGTTGGGAGGGAGGGAGACTTCTGAAACACTGTGACAGAGAAACCAAGTTGGAGACTTTTAATTAGGCTTCCTGCAGAACTCAAGCAAGTGCACACTCCTAAGTTGGTGACAATTAACCCTGTCACGCAAGCAAGTCACAAAAAACTTTCACCAGTGGACCAGTCTCCCCCTAACTACACAATGATTCAATGGATTGAGAGAAAGAGGTGTTTGATCTGCATTAGCAACAGCACACGAAGAGGGTGTACAGCGGGGTCCGCGGTTCACTCACTCTAAGTTCAGAATTAGTGGGCACTAACTCTGTTTACACCACATTTCTATTCCACCAATACGTTGTTGAACAAGCTGTGACATTAGTATTTTTTGGAACAAACATCCCTACTCATGAATTAAATCCCAGGTTAACCATGGATGGATATTCTCTGACTATCTCTACACAGCTAAGAGGATATTTGGTAGAGTGGTAAACACACACTATTCCTTTAAATTCTGAACACTGCTAACTTGCTTTGTCAAACAAGATACTTTGCTTCAAAAGAAAGAGGTGCCTGTCAATGCCAGAGAGTTATACATAAAAATCTTTATGCAGTGAGAAAAAGGAAGGGCCCCACAATGGAAACTATGTACTTATTCTTGGTTCTTCTAAATTTAGAATTTTAAGTACTATTTTAAATACAGGAGTCTTTCCACCGACTTCCCTGGGCTTTGGATCAGGCTCCCCATGAGCTCATATAGATAGTAGTGGTGTCCTAATGTCTATTGAAGAGAACAGAGTTATATTATTACATATATTTAATCAGACAGCATGTCTTGGATCAGAACCTTCTCAATGGAGCATGCCAATCCCGCACCACATACTTCGACACACTAGAGTTGTAATACAAAAACTGGACTCCAGATAGTACCTATTTTGATGGGTTTCTCCAGTTCCAAGAGAGTGAGATCATTGCTAGAAGGAAATCCACTGAAGTTATAGTGTGTGTGCACAGCTTTCACAAGGACAGGGTTGTTGCCTTTTATGTTTGGCAGCAAATAAGTTTTCCCCAGAACTATCCCGTCTGTCTGAGCACTGGGCAAGGAAAAACAGAACACACATTTTCAGTTCAATTAAGAAAACAAAACCTCCATATACAAAACTGGCATAAAATTCTACTTAAGATAATGGATGAGATTTTCAAAAGCACCTATGTGACTTTGAAGCACAAATCTGACTGGTTTTCAATGGGATTTATGCTATTTGAAAATTCCACCCAAAACAATCAGAAGTTACCATATTGTAAAAAAAATGGAGAGATCAACTTTCAATTTCCAAAACGTTTGCACAACTGTCCATGTGTACTTTTAAACAAGGCAGTCCAGTATTCTCGAAACTCAGTTTTAGTGACACTAATCACTATAGCAGAAACTGGAGTCTAGTTTTGCTGAAGTCTACACTGACACAAATATTCAGGCCACACAAGTGTGCCAAACCTTTCCAAGAATCATTCTGCATCTCTCTCTGTTACGGAGTCATGGCAGACAATTCAGCTCAATGCTTTAATGAGATTCTGGTGCAACTGCCACAATCTCACCACCACTGAATAGTGAAGAGATCCCAAGGCATACATCAAGTTAAGTTAACCCTCACATGTCGTGTAATAATTAACTCTTCGGCTGGTAGAGGCACCACACTAGGCTAGCCATACTATTATATGTGTAAAAGCAAACTTGTGGAGAGAACTATTAGTGCCAGTAGAAGTTATTTTAGGAGGAGATTTTCACTGACAATGGGAGCGATTACACTGCTCACCCAGTACCCAAGATGAATTGAACCTTAGTATCCACCACGTGCTCTGATGGAAGATCCCTGGAAATTGTATGTGTTGAGGAGGAGGAGGAAGGGGAATGTCTAAAAAGGGCTGTAGCAACAGGGAGGAAGAGGAGGTAAATACACACTTCTGGGACAGTTGTGAAGCAAGAAGAAGTAGTATGAAGTGGTTTTGCTTGTCAGGGAGCAACAATGATTTAGAGGCTGCCAACGTCGGCAGGCTAGCGTGCGCCACTGTGGTATTGTTGTAAGGGTTAAAGACCTTGCCCACCTGAAGTTACAGTGTCCAGCTGTTAGGACCCACTTCTCAGCAATCAGAGAGCCTCCGCAGAAGTGCTCATTCTTGTACTGTAGACTAACCAGCCAGGGCCAGGACATTTGAGGTGCTGGTCTGCCACCGACCACCCTTGGCTTGCCTGGCTCTTCTCCGGCTGCTTTCACATTCCTCTCAGACTTGTCCACTGGGAATGGATCCACCACTGGAATGCCACATTTGTCTGGAATTGGTTTCATTTTGTTAGTTATATTTTATTGGTCATAGCTTGACAAAGCTAAATATGCATAATAATCCAGACAGTGAAATATCAGACATGTGCTCAAACAGAAGAAACACCCTATCAAGAGTACCAAGATCCCCAAGTACATCTGGTGGGATTAAGGGGGGAGAGCCTGAAAAACTGGGTGAATCATCTGCTTCCCACACCATTAATTTTCTAATAGGTGTTTACTGTGGGAGGGGCTGGTGTGAGAGAGAAGAGATAGTTGAAACCTTAAAATGAACAATATTTACTTTCCTCAGAAGCTGTTAACTTAGTAGGTGGACCTGTGAGAAATTTAAGGGAACAGTCAGTTAAAAAATTCCTGGTCAAGCTGTTTTCATTGGCACTGCAAGTGTAGTGGAGGAAATTATCAAAAACAGTAATGGACAAGGTGCATGAGAGCCTCTTTTTGGATCTCTATGGAAGATATTCTGGAACATTCCACAGGCCAGTAGTTCTGGAAGCATTTTTATAGAGGAGGTGCTGAAAGCCATTGAACAAAACTAAACCCTGTATATGATGGAAACCACTTCAAGCGAGAGGGTGCTGCTGCATCCCCAGTTCCAGCATCTATGGAACTAGCCTTTGGGTCACACAGCCTTGTGACAGAGCCTGCCTCCAGAGCCACAGGAGAGGCCACATCCCTTTAGTAAGAATTGTTGGATGAGCTCTTGTCAAAGAGACATGAGCAGACATGGAAGAGTTTATTGGTTTCCTGTGGGTGCAATCAGCATCTAGAGAACCATTCTTTCAGTTAAGCTTTTGGTGCTGTGGTCAGAACTATAAAAAAAGTAAAATTAAGTATTGTCATAAATATAAAGGGAAGGGTAAACACCTTTAAAATCCCTCCTGGCCAGAGGAAAAATCCTTTCACCTGTAAAGAGTTAAGAAGCTAGGATAACCTCGCTGGCACCTGACCAAAATGACCAATGAGGAGACAAGATACTTTAAAAAGCTGGAGGGAGGGAGAGGCAAAGAGTCTGTGTGATGCTTTTGCCGGGGACAGAACAGGAACGGAGTCTTAGAATTTAGTAAGTAAATCTAGCTAGATATGCGTTAGATTATGATTTCTTTAAATGGCTGAGAAATTAAGCTGTGCTGAATAGAATGGATATTCCTGTCTGCGTGTCTTTTTGTAACTTAAGCTTTTGCCTAGAGGGATTCTCTATGTTTTGAATCTAATTACCCTGTGAGGTATTTACCATCCTGATTTTACAGAGGTGATTCTTTTTATTGTTACTTCTTTTTTACTGTTTCTTCTATTAAAATTCTTCTTGTAAGACCTGAATGCTTTTCTCATTGTTTTTAAGATCCATGGGTTTGGGTCTGTGGTCACCTATGCAAATTGGTGAGGATTTTTTTTTTTAAACCAAACCTTCCACAGGAAGTGGGGTGCAAGGATTGGGAGGATTTTTGGGGGGAAAGACGTTTCCAAACAACGCTTTCCTAATAAAATAAACCCAGATAAACGTTTGGTGGTGGCAGTGGAAGTCCAAGGGCAAAGGGTAAAATAGTTTGTACCTTGGGGAAGTTTTAACCTAAGCTGGTAAAAGTAAGCTTAGGAGGTTTTCGTGCAGGTCCCCACATCTGTACCCTAGAGTTCAGAGAGTGGGGAAGGAACCTTGCAGGTATGTTAACCACATTCTCCCTCCACTAAGCTAAGATCCAGTGTTCAGCCTTGTACATTAATTCAGTAAGAATATTGCTATTTGATCCACTCATGACTGGAATTATGCAGAGGCCTGAAAATCAACACCTCAGCAACATACCTCTAGTAGTACAACTAACAACCAAGTCCATAGCTGAGAATGAAAACTGGCCATCATGGCATCCTCAGCTGAGTGTAGGACAATTCCTTCAGGAGACAGGTCACCTCAGCAGACTTGTATACATTCAAGTTTCCCTTCCTGGAGACCTCTACTACTATTTAGATACAAGAAGGCTATTTGGACTGGGAGAGAGAAAGCCCTACAGCATTACTTACATTTGCTTTCAAGTTCTATGCCACTTCTACTCTTCTGTGCTGGCCACCGATTCACCTCTTCAAACAGAATTTTAAAGCCTCTGTTCCCCACAGACCTGTCCGTCTTGAAATGTAGAGTCAGGTAGCTGCTGCTTGATAACAGGCTAAGAGACTTCTTTTGGCCACACAAACTAGCTGCAAATTATGAAGAAGTGAGCACTTACACAGTGACAAAGCAAATTTGTCTGTCAAATTGTGCTAAACTTATTCCTAGGGCAGCCACATTTTTGAAAATAAAACCCAGGCCAATTAGATATGTCAAAACATTATAATGACAATGGAGACTCCCGGGGTAGGAGTCCAATTACAGTTCTTTTGCTAGCTCTGCTAGGATCTTAAATGATTTGCCCAAAGTTATTCAATGTCTGAGTGCTCCGGGATAAGTCTAGTGCTACAGTATGTGGGGATAATACTTTAAGTACAGGAGTATTTTAATATCCTTCCTGAAGAGGGTGAAAATATTTTTCTCCTCCCAAGAATATTCAGTTATGAGATGCTCTGGGCAGTTTGTTAGTAAACTGTCTGAGGAAAAGCTTTGACAAAGTCCTCCATATAGTTGTGTTTCACAAGACACAGTACTTCCTTAATCATCAAACTAACAGCTTCAGCCTCTAAGGGTCCTCTGTCAAAGCTGCAGACGAAAAAGAAAAAAGAAGAGCCATACTCAAGAAAAGGAGACTTAGATTCTAAAACAATCCTACTCTGTTTATGCCAAAACAGTAAGACTACCTTCACTATTCAAAACATAAAGGAGTAGTATCTGTCCATGAACGGCATATTAGATCAGATGCACATATAGAATGTAGTGCAGCAGGTCATAAGATACACAAGACTGAGCAAAGGAACAATGGAAACAGAAAGATAGTGAGACAGCAGCTCCCTCTTACTGTTACACCCATAAATAGTTCTAGAGAGAAGACAGAGTTCAAATTTCTTCAGGGTCCATCCTAGTCCCCGCCCAATAGCAACTGTAGAACAATTCCAGAAGCACTCATTACCTTTGGAAAACCTACAGTAACTCATATTTCCCTCTCCCTCACCTTGTTTCATTCCTCACATAGAGAGATTGTCCCCACATCATATGTTGGGGAACTTCCCTGAGACAAGGCAGGAGAGAGAGAGAGAGAGAGATCAACACACCGAGCAGTCCTGAAGAGTTATTTGGACCATCATAGATGTTCAAAGAGTCCCAAATGCAGTCTCTTGCATTTTCTGTTACCAAGTCTCTGATCACAGCTTTCAATCTATTTCCTGAAGTGGAATAAACTGTCCAAGTGCAGTTCAGCATGTTGGGATAAGTGTTGGGGTAATTAGGAGATGTTATCTCAGCTGATCCAACTGGAATTAGATCCAAGATTGGACACCCTTAAAGAGAAAAATGAGAGTTTCAGAGGTTGAGATTTTGCCCTGAGAGGAATCTGTCTTCTCGAACATTCATTACAAATGGTTTGAAAATGCTAGAGCTGTACAAACAACGGATTCTTTTTTTTTTTGATCACTGGCATAACTGGGAGATGGGGAGAGTGATTTATTTTTTTTAGTCAAAGGAAGCATTTTGATAGACCCAAAAGGAAAAACCATTTTCTTTTTTGAGTTTAGCATTTCAAAAGCAAAAATTTAACTAAAATTCATAATGAAGTCATTTTCAATAGTCGTAACAAAATGCTTTGATTTTTTCAACTCCCCCTCCCCCACTTCCACTGAAACAATTCAGTTAATTCTATACAAGTTTGCAAAAGGCCTCAGTCAACCTGAATCTGCTTTTTTATTTCCCCTCCTCCCCCCCACGCTGGAGGGGAAGGGGTGTGAAAAAGTTTCATCCAAAATTTTTCACCCAGCTTTGGAAAAATCTTGATCCCCTAGGATTTTCTAACAACAAAAGCAAGCAGACTTATGAGTGAAACTTAAATTCTATTGGTTTCTGCTTGAACAAAGCTCCTGTTGATACTAACTTCTACCTGCACAGCAAACGTAGTTCTCTGCACAGCTTGTTATAGTGCCCTTAACAGGTATATTTAAAATAGGAGAGCTGTTCTAGAAGAAGGAAAAGGGACCCATCATTTGGGAAGTGTGTTGAACTCTGGGAAGAGCCAAAGGCCAAGCTATCTGAGATCCTACAACCAGTACAGTTCAGCCACAGAGTAACATTTCTAATTAGACCAGATTCATACCTGGAAAAACATCCTTGGGCTAAACCCATTGAAACCAATGGATGTATTTCCTCCGTTTTATTTAGTAGAGTAGAGCAGGCTGCAGGGCTGAAATTTACTTATTTGTAAAATAAATTTTATTCTTTATTTACTCCAGGCTTCTCCAAAGTCCTTTTGCTTGTAAGTTTCATTTATGTAGGTTGTGAAAGGACAGTCATTTTCAGTTACTTCACCACTAGTAATTGGGCATCACACACATTTAGATTAAGACTAAGGTGTGGCATGGAGCTGGGTACATTTGGTGGGGCAGAGAGAGAGAGGAAGAACTGCAGGCTATTGGGAATGACATAGGGAAGGGTCTAGAAAAACTGGATGTCACACTAGGGTTCACATTTTCAAGCTTTAAAAAAAAAAAAGTATGCTTCTTCTCCCAGATGTGTCACATATGGCATGACAGCCTACCCAGTTTAGCTAGAACTCCAGGATGCAAGGGCAAAGGGGGAAAAGCAGACAGAGTTCCTTTCCCATCACTCAAAATCTGAGGGAGCTGAGGCTGGCTTTGAGATTAGCTAAGAATTCCTTTATGTTCCAGCTACCAACACGTCTCTGGTCCTGTGTGGCAGCTCACAATGCAGGAACAGAAACAAAGCAGCAGCCAGCTAATATTAAAGAAACAGAACTGTGGACGTATCACCCAGACTGAATGAAGGGCAGTTGTTAAGGAACTAAGACGGCTATATTACTGGCTACGTTCTGGTATTGAAGTTAGCCATAGCAGAGCCCCTCCCACAACCGAAATCCAGGAGACATTTAGAAAAGCTATTTTTGGTTTGATTGTTTGCATCTCCCCTCCCTGCATTGCTGGCATAGAGAGCTAGAACTGATCTTACCTTTTTCAGCAGCTTTCAATTTTCCTAAAGCAGAACCTAAAATGAGAGAGTTACCATACTCACTGTTAAAGGTTAAACTCACCATACAAATAAACTAGGGATTCTGAATGCCTCAATGGGTAGATAAGGACTCTTGAGTGATTAGGCATTAAGAACCATACTCTGACACAGTGTCAGGTAGTTTTCCCTATATTTACAGTAAGATCTGTATGGTCTCCACATACATAATAGTAAAACTCATTTACCAGAACTGACAGTATGCTTATATTGGATAGACCTTTTACATGGACAAAACATTCTGCTTGTTTTGTTATGTGGCATAACAAAAGGGGGCGGGGGGAAATTGATGGATTAGGTTGTTGTGATCACAAAGTGATTTGCTTTCATGAAAAAGAGAAGTATCCTAAGGGACAAAGCAATAATTTTTCATATCTATGATGTCTTTGATCCCAGGGTATCAAAAGTTATTTCGTAGTAGGACAGTAGCATCCAGTGTGCTAGGTGTTATCCTCATAAGGATGACAGTCCCTGCCCCAAAGGGCTTCCAATCCAGGGCTACAAGAGAAAGGTGATGAGTGATGAAGAAAAAAGTCAATTTTTTTTATCTATCATTTTCAAAAACTAGCCAACCTTAACTGTTGTATTAGTTAGCTAGTTATTCTTGTAGGTGCAGCAGAAGTGAGTCTTGAGGTGTGGGGGGTGGGGGAGGTGTTTGAAGGAGGAAAGCAGACTTGCATACTAGTTCGGGGGGGGGGGAGTTCAGTGCATAAGGAGAGAGAGAGAAAGGAAAAGAATGGTCATGAAAGAAGTCAACAAGTAGGGATGGTGATAGGAGTTAGTAGTTTATGCAGAGCAGAATGGGTGGGGTCACCGGAAGACACAGTACATTGGTTAGGCTGTTAATTAGTGACCTTAATTTCACAGATGGGAAGAGAAAATGCAGAAGTTTGGTGAATTGCTTGAATACCTAGTAAATAGTAGAAACTGGGCTGGAACCAGACTTCTGATGCTCAATAAGCCTCCTCTCTGGAGGAGATAGGATAAGCCTCTCTCTACTGTAGTGTTTTACATCTTCCAGATATTGTATGAAGATTTATTAAAAAGCTGCTTCTTTAGGTTTGTTTTCTTTTTATAAATGGTCACGAGACTCTCCTGCTATGTATTTTTCTCTTACATTTTGCATAACCTTCCTTTATACTCCGCTCCCACTCCTTCACTCAAAACCAAATCTGCAACCAACTTACCAGGTTGTAGATCATGGAAAGAGTAGGTCAGAACAAACCCTTCTGTAGCCACTTCAGCACTTGATGTGAAGGTCAGCATCACCACTGGACCATCAGACTTTAAAGGATAGAGTGAAATTTCCCCACAGAAGTTACCTGCCAGGTAGTAGGATTCCAACTGGTAACCATGAAAGGCATAATGCTAGGCTATTGTATTTTACCCAGACCGGTTATACCGCACCTCAGAAAAATGAAGCCTTAAACTATACCTTTATAAATACCTCATGTATCAGTGAGAAATGAAACCTCAGCCTGTTGAGCCACCTTGAGTTCATTCAACTCTGATTAACAGGCTGAGGGGCTTGTTTACACTTACAGAGCTGCAGCTGCCCTGGTGCAGCTTTAGTGGAGACACTACCTATGCCGACAGGAAACCTCCTCCTGTTGACATAGGTACTCCGCCTCCCCAAGAAGCCCTCCCATCGACACAGTGCTGTTACACTGGGGGTTAGGTTGGTATAACCTATGTCATTCAGGGGGTGTGGAAAATCTACAATCCTGAGTGACGTAGTTACATCGACCTATGTTTGTAGTGTAGTGCTAACAGAGCAGAATTCCAAATGTTATTGTACACGCTTCTTATAAACAAAACGGTGCCCTTCTCACAACAGAGAAAGTGCCCTTTGACTAAAACAAACCAAGAGGTAAAAACACACCTGCTGTAACCATTAAAAGCTTTAGGGTATGGTGGTTGGGTTGGGGAAGATGGTGCTTTCAGACAGACATCTGATGGCTGAAAATTAACCGATCCTATAAATCTTACACACTGGTCATGCTATGGCGCTAATGAGATTTTAGTTATTCTTCCATTTAAATGTTTGGACTGTTAGGGTTACACACAAGGGAGGGAACAGTCTCTTTGGAAGTTATTTTGTTGTTTAACAGTTTTCATATAAGACGCATTTTTATGTGGAGACCAATGGATTGATCACAGGGCATCACGTTCATTGGAGAATGAGCCACTTCAGTGCCCTGAAGGCTAGAACTGTTTGAGACAATGTATAATTAGTAGAAATTCCTTGAGGGCCCCATAATAGTATCTGCTGCAATTTATTTCCAGTTCAACTGTCACTTTCTTACTGTCATGCACAGCATTGTTGAGAGAAGCATCATAGGAAGCATTCCACATGCGAATGTGCATTTGTTCCCAAGATATTGAATGGCCAACAATTTGGTGACTGACACCTGCCTCTAAGGCAAATTTATCGTGAACAGTGAAACAGTCAACCAATCCCATCTCTACAACAGAGCTACAGAAGTGGTTCCTAGAAATGGAAATGATGATGAATTAGTAGAAGACACTCCCCTAAAGTCAGTATTAACAGAAACAAAGTTGGAATTCTTCTTTTCATGTGGCAAATTGCCCAGTGGTCTGCTAAGAAAACTGGAAGAGTTTCCCTCTTCCACTCTCAGCAGCACCACAAGCAAATCTCTCACCTATCAACTCCTTGCTTGGCCCAAATCCTTCATACACCATCAGTTGTCCATGGCAATCAGACAGAGTCTTTTCAGTCCAGAAGGCCAGGAAATCAAGCCGAATGATGGATTTTAACGGGGCTACAATTCGCCAGTGGCAACTGCAGGGCAAGAACAAATTCAAAACACTCATTAACACCCAATCACATGCACCCTACAACTGGCTCACATTTCCAAGGGATTGTTACTAAAATGGGGTGGAAGGAACAAGGAAAGAAAAGAATTTGAGTCTGTTTTAAAAAACAAACAAACAAACCCCAGAAAACAAAGTGGAGATTCTAATCCAGGGTGGGATGTTGGTTTGAATCCATTTCTGGTATAGAAATTATGAATAATAAAATAAACTATCAACCAATTGATGAAAGTGGACATAAAATTATGACACTGATTCAGAAACAAGATGGACCAATGCCAACGAGGCTTCCTCGCTGCCTAACACTTCACTGAGCAACCACCCCTACTCACCGCTCCCTCCTAGTGGGAAAAGCTAGGGGAAGAAAGGGCTAGTAACTGCCCTTTTTACCACCTTGCCTGAGTTATTCTATGCCAGAGGACGGGGAGGGAGAGCCCCTTTCAGCATTTCATCTGACATGATGAATGGTTTCACCAGAACGATGCCAGATTTGGCCACTAATTGTTAGAAAGGGTGTAGTAGCACTAGCCCTTCTGATCACCATGCCTTCACGTGAGAGGCAGATAGGAGCCACAGAAGGTAATTGTGGAACCTGTTCAGTTTTTCAAAAGATGTGTACTGAAACACAGAAGTTAGATATGGAAGAAGTCATATTCATTCATCCCAGATCATCCACAGTTTTGTAGAACCCAATTTAAGAGTTCCAAGAAACAGGATTAAACAAGTTCACTCTCACCTGGTGGTGTTAGGATAGCCATGGGGATATCCTGGTGACTGGATCAATCCTTCCAGGTCTGTGAGAATGACATCCCTACAGCGTAACAATTCTTGGTCCACATCCTTGGGGCGTTTCACTGCCTTTCCAATCTTTGGCCCTAGAAAGAAACTTTGGGATTCAATTTGCGCCTGTCTTTTAAATACACTTCCACCAATGGCCCAGACAATACCACATGACTGCCCCTAGAAGATTAAAGTCCATGTAAAGAAAGCTGAAAATTAAAATGCCTCATTTTAAAATTAAAATTAGTCTGGAAAACAAAACACAGTTGGACAGCCAACTAATTTGATACCAATAGTGATTATTTTCCATTATTCAAGACATTTCTGCTTGTTATTTATGTTCTCTGTAAAAAGAAATATCAAAGCCAATTTTAGGGTCATTCCAGCTTTCTTCATTCTGTATTTTTCTAATTTCTCATGTAGGACTCAGTAAAATGAGAGCTCTATTTTGGTGCTCAATAAGAACTCACTTGGTTCCCCCAGAAGGGAGTCCCCTCTTCTATATCCACCCCACTGCCTTGTGGAAGCAAGCAGAGTCCTGAAATTTTATAGGTTAGTTTGAAGTGGAGGTCAAATGGTTTAGCTCACTCTCTACCAGCCATCTCTCTATTGAGCAGTGCGTGTGTCACCTTACCATACCTTGGACTCTGAAGACCATGTACTCAATGCCAAAGGCAGCAAGGGTCAGAGAATGGAACACCACTTTCACCACAGGGCCAGGACTCAGAAAGGTCATAGGCGACTGCAGGACACCACATAGTTCAGCTAGGAGAGAAACAAACCCAAGCAAAAGGAGAAATATTAGAAACTGCTCTGGAGAAAAATCCTTTAAGTGCAACTTTTAGTTGCATAAATAGTTACAAAGTTAATACAAAAAGAAAAGGAGTACTTGTGGCACCTTAGAGAGTAACAAATTTATTTGAGCATAAGCTTTCGTGAGCTACAGCTCACTTCATTGGATGCATTCAATGAAAAATACAGTGGGGAGATTTATATTGATAGAGAACATGAAACAATGGGTGTTACCATACACACTGTAACGAGAGTGATCACTTAAGGTGAGCTATTACCAGCAGAAGAGTGGGGGGGAAAAGCCTTTTGTAGTGATAATCAAGGTGGGCCATTTCCAGCAGTTGACAAGAACGTCTGAGGAACGGGGGGGAGGGGAATAAACATGGGGAAATAGTTTTACTTTGTGTAATGACCCATCCACTCCCAGTCTCAATTCAAGCCTAAGTTAATTGTATCCAGTTTGCAAATTAATTCCAATTCAGCAGTCTCTCACTGGAGTCTGGTTTTGAAGTTTTTTTGTTGAAGAATTGCCACTTTTAGGTCTGTAATCGAGTGACCAAAGAGATTGAAGTGTTCTCCGACTGGTTTTTGAATGCTATAATTCTTGACATCTGATTTGTGTCCATTTATTCTTTTACATAGAGACTGTCCAGTTTGACCAATGTACATGGCAGAGGGGCATTGCTGGCACATGATGGCATATATCACATTGGTAGATGTGCAGGTGAACGAGCCTCTGATAGTGTGGCGGATGTGATTAGGCCCTATGATGGTGTCCCCTGAATAGATATGTGGGCACAGTTGGCAACGGGCTTTGTTGCAAGGATAGGTTCCTGGGTTAGTGGTTCTGTTGTGTGGTGTGTGGTTGCTGGTGAGTATTTGCTTCACGTTGGGGGGCTGTCTGTAAGCAAGGACTGGCCTGTCTCCCAAGATCTGTGAGTGATGGGTCATCCTTCAGGATAGGTTGTAGATCCTTGATGATGCGCTGGAGAGGTTTTAGTTGGGGGCTGAAGGTGACGGCTAGTGGTGTTCTGTTATTTTCTTTTTTGGGCCTGTCCTGTAGTAGGTGACTTTGACAGAGCCAGAAGAGTACCCCAATCTGTTTCTTCATTTCAGCAGGTGAGTATTGTAGTTTAAGAATGCTTGATAGAGATCTTGTAGGTGTTTGTCTGAGGGGTTGGAGCAAATGTGGTTGTATCATAGAGCTTGGCTGTAGACAATGGATCGTGTGGTGTGGTCTGGGTGAAAACTGGAGGCATGTAGGTAGGAATAGCGGTCAGTAGGTTTCTGGTATAGGGTGGTGTTTATGTGACCATTGTTTATTAGCACTGTAGTGTCCAGGAAGTGGATCTCTTGTGTGGACAGGACCAGGCTGAGGTTGATGGTGGGATGGAAATTGTTGAAATCATGGTGGAATTCCTCAAGGGCTTCTTTTCCATGGGTCCAGATGATGAAGATGTCATCAATATAGCACAAGTAGAGTAAGGGCATTAGGGTACAAGAGCTGAGGAAGCGTTGTTCTAAGTCAGCCATAAAAATGTTGGCATACTGTGGGGCCATGTGGGTACCCATAGCAGTGCCGCTGATTTGTTAACTCCTGGAAATGGCCCACCTTGATTATCACTTCAAAAGGTTCTCTCCCCCGACCCCACTCTCCTGCTGTATAGGCAAACCTTTAGATACAAGTAGCCATTTCCCACGTTGGTTGAATAATGAAATCACTGGGGGGGGGGGGTTATTTTTAGATCAGGGCTGTTTTATTGGTTAAAAACTAAAATCAGAAGCCATAAGTATATAACCCTATCATTATCATTGATACATTTCTTACAAAAGTGAACTGTAAGGGGGGTTGTAAAAACGGTTTTACTTCAGGTAAGGGGTACATCTCCTGGAAAAAAGTCAAGAAACACGGACTTAGGCCAGAAAGTCTAATCTATTCAAATACTACACCATGATTTCCACACACCCTCCCTTGCCATTTGTACAACTCGATTAAGGGCCCGACTCTCTGCTGCTTTAAACTGATGCATTGACCTCAACAGAAATAAGTCAAACATACACTCAGCAGAGAATAGGGCCTTAAAATTTAGCTGAAAGTAAATTCAGCCTGCAGCCAGCACAGTCACTCTGTGGAAACCGGCCAGTTTTAAAAAAGATTCAACATCCCGAGGAGAAAAGCTTCAGCTAGATGATTGATTACCTACTACTTTTCTTCCTCTTTGGCCCTCTTCATATATCCCTAGGAGCTCCACTTGGCAGTTCCGGGAGGCTGGTATTGACAGATGCTTTACTGTGAGCTTTGCCATGCCTCTGGGAGACATTCTGAGCACCCAAGAGCAATTCAAACTTCCCATGGAGCCTGATGAGCAAGGGGAGGAGAAGAAACCTCTGGGCTCTGTTAACTCCACTTCCAATGGACATTCTGCACAGAAAGAGCATATGATGGTCATAGAAGCACTGGGAAAGAGTTTTTGCTGCTCTACAACTCCTATTAGTTAGGTCTTAGATCAGAGATCCTAAAGGTATGTCTACACTATGAAATTAGGTCGAATTTATAGAAGTCGGTTTTTTAGAAATCGGTTTTATATATTCAAGTGTGTCCCCACAGAAAATGCTCTAAGTGCATTAAGTACATTAATTCAGCAGAGTGCTTCCACAGTACAGAGGCAAGCGTCGACTTCTGGAGTGTTGCACTGTGGGTAGCTATCCCTCAGTTCCCGCAGTCTCCGGAAATGAGATTCAAAAGTTCGCAGTTCTTTTCCTGTCTACCTGGCCAGTGCATCTGAGTTGAGAGTGCTGTCCAGAGTGGTCACAATGAAGCACTCTGGGATAGCTCCCGGAGGCCAATACCATTGAATTGTGTCCACAGTACCCCAAATTCAACCCGGCAAGGCCGATTTAAGCGCTAATCCACTTCTCAGGGGTGGAGTAAGGAAATCGATTTTAAGAGCCCTTTAAGTCGGAAAAAAGGGCTTCTTCGTGTGGATGGGTGCACGTTTACATCGATTTAATGCTGCTAAACTCGACCTAAAGTTCTAGTGTAGACCAGGGCTAAGAGGACAATATTGCCAATGGGAAACAGCTTGTTAGTACTGCATGTTACTGCTTCAGTCTTCTAGTCATCACTGAGACCCAGGGCACTAAATGTCTCTCTAGTAAGACAGAAAGTTTGCCCTCAGTTACAAACATGCAGTCCTTTGAAGCCAGTTGAAATGCACAGGTGTAACCGAGGGCAAATTTTTGCTTCTCCCTAATAAAGATATTGTATAGTCCCCATAATTTAGTATTTAAGCATTCCCCAGGTCTCTAGTGCCTGGAATGATAGAAGTGAAACACTCTGGTACAGTCAGAGGATGAGTTTTCAATGCTAAAAGGCAAGCACAGTGCTTTGCAGAAAGCCCCAGCAATCCAGCTACTAGAAGCAAGATGGGCAACATCCCCAAAGTGACTGTGTGCCCAGCTTGCCAGGCCTTTAAGAGGGGAGACCAAAAGAGAGTTAGCAAATCTGGCCTGACAGCTCATCCAAACAGCCAATGACTCAGGACAGTCCCAGAGTGAACTGGGTATACAATGGGGAGAAACCTAACAAAGCTATCCAGCTCAAGCCTTCACATATTCATTGATCTGGACAGTTTTCCAGTGTGACGATTTATTCTTTGTCTGACACTGGTCTCTTACCAACCTGTCCAGCCTTAGGCAACAGGCTCAGCAAGTTAGTGGATGTTTTCTGGGAAAGCAAAGAACGCTTTCCCTGCTTATAAAGCACACAGATAAGGGCACAAGAAGAACAGAGCTGTGGTGGCTTGTGCTCCATGCACACAAAGGGGAATCAAATGCAGCATTTCTCAAGTGGAAAGAGACCAAATCAATAGGGAAATATTTTGAAGCATCTGTGTGAGTGTTGTAAACAAACAAAAAACTGCCAGTCAGAGCTTTGTCCCCCTTTAATCCTGTATACAATAGGGCTTTTTGCGTCCCACAGCAGTATCTTTTAAAAGCCATAATCTCTATGTAGCAGCGTTTGTACTTTGTCATTTCCTCCACCACTGAAGCTTGTGAAATCTCTGCTAATGCTAGCATTGACCTCACCACCCCTCACCCCAGACATTACGCATGAGCACGGAATGCTGACTACGGGAAAAAGTTTACAGTTCACAGCGTAGAAGGCTGGGTGGTTAGGCTAGGAACCCAAAGGAAGTAGCATGTACCCCACCTCTATTCTACATCTAAGCAAATTAAATGACTCCAATGCTGAGGTCGCTATGCTGGTAACTGATGCTCTCTGTATGAAAAAGAGGTACTGCATTGCTAGCAACTGTGTGAGCATCCCCACCCACTACATAAGAATGACCATAATAGATCAGACTACAGGTCCATCTAGCCCAGTATCCGGTCTTCCGACAGTGGCCAATGCCAGGTGCCCCAGAGGGAATGAACAGAACAGGTAATCAAGTGATCCATCCCGTCGCCCATTCATAGCTTCTGGCAAACAGAGGCTAGGGACACCATCCCTGCCCATCCTGGCTAATGGGCGTTGATGGACCTAGCCTCCATGAACTTATCTAGTTCTTTTTTGAACCCTGTTATAGTCTTGGCCTTCATAACATCCTCTGGCAAGGAGTTCCACAGGTTGACTGTGCGTTGTGTGAAGAAATACTTCCTTTTGTTTGTTTTAAACCTGCTGCCTATTAATTTTGTTTGGTGACCCCCAGTTCTTGTTGTTTACTCCTTCTCATAACACACTTCCTTATTTACTTTCTCCACACTAGTCATGATTTTATACACATCTATCATAGCCCCCACACTGTCCTGGAGGCATCATTCTGTAGGGATATTTCAGTCTCTATGGCCATTCAAATCCCTGACCTCTGCTGAAACTATCAGCATGAGTGCCAGTTGTAGGATGACCAGATGTCCCAATTTTTCCACACTTTCTATCTGGTGACCCTAGCCAGTTACCATGGCTTAGAGGCACATATTGCTTGCCTGTGTTCTCTGGTAACAGTGCGAGCGAGCTGAGCTGGCGGTAGTAACTCCTGAACAGGCTGGATTTTTAAAACAGTGAGCAATAGCACTTGGGACCTTGCCAAAGACAGCGTCTTGGTTTAAGGGTTCTTTTGCTTTTTCTCCATGTTTTCACCATTCTTTTCCTTCAATGCTGTCTGCTCATCTGTGGTAGAGAAGCTTTTTGTGTGTGTGAAGTGTGCGGCAGGTGGGAGAGGTTGAGTCAAGGGCCAAAATTGTTTATCATCATATTTGTATTACAGTAGCCTCTAAGCCCCAGCCAAAATTGGGACCCAGTTATGCAAGGTGCTGTACATAAGCACAGCAAGAGACTGTTTCTGCCCTGCACAGCTTGCAGTCTAAATAGACAAGACTGACAAAGGGTGGCAGACAGGAAATATTACACCTTTTACAGATGGTGAATTGAGGTACAAAGGATTCAGTGAATTGCCCAAGATCACACAGGACATCTGGGGCAGAGGCAGGAACTGAATCCAGTTCTTCTGATTTAGTCCAGTGCCTTAACCACAAAAGGATCCTTCTTCTCTGGATGTACTTGGGTCTGCTCTCATCCACCCCATCCCCTCCAAAAAAAAAAAAATAAAGCCAAGCATTCCCTGTGTCTCCTCCTCAGAGTAGAGAGCCCTGAGAGGTGGTGCTTTAAAATCATGCACTCTGATTGTGTCCTCTCTCTCTCTCAAAGAAAGCTGTCCAAGGTTTATTCAATAGAACATTCTGAAAGCAGATGGTGCAAAATGCCTCTTAGCACCATGGATAAACGGAACTGTGTTTGGAGCCAAAAAATCTTAACTACGATGGGTCTTTCTGAAATCCTTGCTGACTCAGGAATGCAAAGGGTTAGTCCCAGTGCTGTCACTTACTTTTAAGATCACCTACAATAATGAGTAAGTTCCATGAAGGAAAATGTAGGTTACCTACATTAGAAACTGGTCATTACAGTAGAGGCTGGTCCATATAAGAGTTTTGAAAGTCTGCTACCGCTTTCATATAGGGGACTTGGTCCTTCAACTCAAGTGGCTGCATTCCGTGCCGTTAGCTCCGAAAGGAGCAGGTTCAGTCCCTGCTCTTGGCCCAAACAGGGTTGGTTACTCCCTAGTTTACCAGTTTGTGAAAAGGGCATTCTGACATTTACCTAACTTACAAGGATGAGGGTTAATTAGTATTTTAAGTCAAGCAAGTCATAATCCTGTGAGAAAACCTACTAGTTAGGGGCCAAATTCTTAGGAAAGAAGAAAATGGAGAATTTATTCTATAGCCAACTTTCAAAATATATTTAATCCCTTGGCCAACAGTTCAAGCAATATTAAAAGGAGGATGGAAATTGTTTTCTGATGGGCAGTTATGCTAGTAGTATGGGGCTGGAAGGGCAGGAGAACATGGTGGCTGATATCAAATGGCTTAAAGTTCTAGAGTGGGGCAGTGTAAGGAAAACAGCAAGAAGGTTTGTGTTTGTTTTAAAAAAGGGAAAAAAGTCACTGAGGAAAATAGCTTATGGTTGATGGAATTCAAAAGAAAACAAGTAATTTTGTTTGTTGCCCCCAGTTTAGACTCCTACAATGATAGATTCTCTTAGCTAGTCTGCACTAGTCTGGGAGTTAAAAGAGGATTATTTGTATCTAACCCTATGATCTCGTCAATAGGCAATTGCAAGAAATCCACTGTAATTACAAAGTTTTTGGCCTTTATACACTTTGGCAACAGTTGCCTAGCTTGACACCCTGTACCGTACTACCAAGCTGAATCTTGGTCCACCACTTTCCACAGGATACAAGGGTATGCAAGAGACAGACAACCAGCACTATTAACTGAACGTAGCTGCAGGAGAGTTTTTACCTTGTCTGTAAGCAGCTCCTGTTAGCTTTGTAGGCCGTTTCATTGGTGTCTGTGTTAAGGTTTCATGTCCATTCTTACTTACCTGAAGCGCATTTGGTTCAATCTCTGTAGAGAGAGGTACAACATGCCTATTACTAGGACAGTTTAATAAAGATGTCCTGGGCTATGTGTAATTTGTAGAGAGAGACAGCTTTGTGGGAAACCAGACAGTACCCATACACAGGATTAAGACATCCCACCAAGAGTCAGATTGACCATAGCCTTACTCATGAAGTGATAATGGAATGCTAAACCTTTCAAATGAAACCATCTAGAGGCAAAAGTGAACATAAGCAAGCGATAGTAAAACCTCCACCATAGAAACTGATTTACAGGTGGAGATCTGTGCACTTCTCTTCCTGAGACTGGTTATCTTAGGGTAAACTCATGAAAAAGCAAACTATAGAAAGCTAATGCCCAACAACCATCGATACTAGATCTTCCACTATGAAAGAGACCTCTAACCACCTTCCAATTCATCTGGGGGAGCCGATTGGAGACAGCTACCCTCATGGACCACACTTAACAATCCTGAATTAGTAGTGACCACTGTAAAAAGGCTGAAATTTGTTTCTTCCTCCTCATTTGAGTTAACAGTAGGTGTAAAAATCATGCTTATTCTATGAGAAGGCACTGGCTGATGACTGCTCTAAGCAGGCCAACAACTGAATAGTTTTAACCCCTTATGCCAAAAATCAGGATGTGGAACAGAGCTGTATTTGCCACCACTGCAGTTCTGCTGGTATACAATTTTTTTAAAATATATCTATATATAAAAGCATTATGCTGAGTCACACATAGCTACAATATCAAAAGGATTTTTTTGATCACCAGAGTAGGTTTTTGTTTTGCATCCTCCTGAACTAGGCTGACAAGATACAGGATGGATAATTAGGAATATCCCTTGGGATGCGTGGCAGCCACATCAGTAGTGAAATTGCTGTGGGGAAGAAATAAGTGGTTTGCTCTATTTCAGTTAGGGAAACATCCCAATTCCCTAGGCATGGCAGTTTGTGAGGATACCAAGTAGGAGACCACACACACACAAACAAACATTCTTCCCTTCACCTCTAAGTGTTCCTTGCACAGTAAAGAACATGGTCCACTTCCTTTTAAGAGGCACATACTGTATTTTATAGTCACTCTCTAGTGAGCTGTGTTATTGATTACTCTTTGTACAGCACATACTCTGAAGTGTTCAAAATGCACTTGTCTCGAGTTTGGTGTGTACTGGTGCATTGTACTTCATTTCAGATTATCCCAGAAGTTCTGAGTCTCTAAAATCGGGCTGACAGACTTTGCTTTTGGATGAAAAAATGTTTTTTCCCACCCCTACAGCCACTTTATTTGATTTAGAACCAGCAAAAAAAAAAAAAAAAAAAATATAGCAAATACACAAAAATATGACACCCCCCCCCAAAAAAAACCCCCAAAAAACAAAAACACCCCATCACTTTTTAAAACCAAAATTTTTCCAGTTTCCAGGGAGGAATGTGGGGGTGGAAAAGGTTACAGGAAATTTCAAACACAAGACTTATGTATTTTTTTCCACATATCTCATGAAAAATAATGGTATTTTTCCATCTGCTATCCACAAAATACTTTGAATACTTCCAGAAAGCTCTGCCTTTAGGACGCACTGCTTAGAGGAAAGAAGGATATTTACCTCTTATTGTGGATTTGATCCAGTCCAGGAAGACTCTCACCCTTGTATAAACTCCTGGTTTCTTTGGCCTGGCACAACCAACACCCCAGCTGATGATGCCATAAAGAATAAATGGCTCTTTTTCATGATGGCAAACCAACGGGCCACCAGAATCACCCTGAAAGCACACAAACAGAGGGACTTTAGAATATTAGTAGAAACGTCCTACATTCATTTGTCTTCTACACTCTTAGCCACAGAAGCTAACAGCAGTCACAGACCATAGCTAAGAGGAAAAGTTTGAATATGAGTACCGAGTATGCCCAGCTCATGCTCCTGGTTTCTTAGTCATGGACTAGGATGGCTAATTCAATAAATCAGATTGTTAGTAAGGCAAAGTGGTCTGGAAGACTGAACATAGGGTTCAGAATCAGGAGGTACTAAATTCAGTCACATTTTATATAAAGATTCCATTTATAATCTGTATAAGATTCCAAGCTTGTCACTCTGAAACGTAGCACACTTGTAGAATCAGGATGAACTGATGTAAACAGCAACAATGGCTGTAGCTCTTTTTGTTTAGAGTACCACCAGGTTCAATCACCACCAGGTTTTGCAGTCTGTTACTGTCTATTTTTAAGTTCTCAGCCATTCTGACTTGACAAATGACACCTGTGCAGTGTCAGCTACTGTAAGACATGTATCTATTCCCTGCCAGGACTCCTAGACCACTGTGCTATAGATAACAGCCAATCACCACCCTTACTACACAGCTAATTTGCATGCATCAGTTTCATTGGTTGTGTGAGGGAGACTGCACAGATAGTATATTACTTGGCTCAATTGCCATATCCATGCAACAGGCCTTCAGCTACTAGTTTATCAAGGGTTAATAAAGGTAAATAGAAATGAAATGTGTTATGGGCATGAATATTTTGTATTAGAGAGATAAGCACACTAGTAGGTGTTATAGACTGTTATAAGCAACCTATTGACCGGTTGGACTCTAGAACAATTATTAACATTACTCTCTCATATCACTAATATAAAAAGCGTGACCCAATATTCTAACCTGGCTTTGCCACCTATTCACTGGTTAGGAGTCAAGAAACGTAAAAGGAAGAACATCCCCTCACCCAGAGTTACTCAGGCTCAATCACAGTTACAGCTGAAAGCCCAAATACACCAATGGTTGTTTTTGCCACTAAGCTTCTCCAGCTCCATGTTTTGAATTCAGTTCTAGTTTGGGCTAATTGTGTTGATTGTTCTTGTGATGCTCCGTGCATTGCCCATTCCTGCTGTAGACAGTTATTGGGGGCAGCTGCCTTTTTGTAGGATTTGCTCTACCAGAGTTTTCCCAACACATTCTACCATATTAAAATACAGCAGAAAACAATCACCAAGACTCATCTTCAATGGTACTTGCATTTAGCAGCGACTCACCTGGCAGGAATCCTGCCCTCCAGAAGAAGCAAAACCAGCACAAAGCATCCTAGCTGTGATCCCTCCAGGGTGATTAAAATAGTAATTTTTCTCACAGACTTCACTCTCAAGTATGGGTACTTGTGTCTGCTGCAGTCGACTAGCGAGGCTTCCATCTGCTGTGGAGAGAAGTTGGCAGAGGAACATTTATCACATTGTAAGTTATTTGCAGGGTTAAAGAACTGCTGAAAATGCAAAACTGGAGATGGAAACAAACAGAATGAAGTTGGCTAAAAACACACGTTTCCCCAAGTCCCCTTGCTAATAGCTACAATTTGGATCCAACCAGACAGCTGAGTATGGAAACTGGACTTTCCACCAGGTTATCTGAACCTTCTGGTTATGTAATAATACAGGCGGGTGCCTGTACACACTATGTCAGACTGTGGAGATCCCCTTTGCCAACAGTCTAGTACAGCCATTTCAGAGCAGTAGTAGATGCTCAATTTGGCTTTGTTCAGCCAACTGACTCAAAACACAGCTCCTGCTGGAAAAAGCCAAGGTTTTAGCTAATGTCTCCCCAGCCTACCCCAAGTTTGTCTCTGAAGGAACATACCTCATTCATGAGCCTCTCCTCAGTGCCCTGATCATTTTAACCCTTTGATGTTTTGAGAAGCTTCTCACTCCCTACAAATCAGAAAGTAGGGCCCAGAACATAAAAGCAAAAGCATGGGAGCTTTAATTAAGAGCAACTGCTAGGCCTGCAGTCCTGGACACTATTCTAATTATAGCTAGACAGCTGCAAATCAGCCAGTCCATAAGCAACATGTAAGAAATACATCTTTTTGCACAGTGATAGTAGAAAGCTCCTAAATGCTAAAATCACCTGTGCGTAGGAAGAACTGTGGATCCTGCCATCCGCTCCCCACTCATCATAGTGCTCAGCACACCCTACAATGATGCTAAGAGATGCAGGACAGAGGTAGAATCTCCACAGACACTTCCATCTTTTTTGCCCATTTAGAGAAGAACATACTACATACCTTCTCGGGTGCTCCCCCAGCCAGTCATGGTGCACAGAACAGAGGAAGATAACGGTTGCGTGCTGTTGGGCAAACATACTGGCCTCACAACAGTGTTAAACTCCAGAGGGACATCCAGTTGGATCAGCGCAATATCTGAGTCATAGCTCACTGTATCAAAATCAGGGTGCACCACAATAGTTTTCACCCTTCTCACCTGTACCAAACATTAATAAAGCAAAATGATGAGCTCAAAGAAGCTGGACCAGAGAAGATACAACTGAAAATGGACCTTAAAATGGAGGTGGGTTTAAAGTACATTTTGGAAGAGACACAAATTGGTGTCAGTTTAGAGAAGACTGAAACAGATTAGAACAGGGAAGATTCAGGACTCTGGAGGTCAGCGCCGTATATCCCCCAACTCTTGGTTACAGATTGGCCACAAATGGAAGAGATTGTATTAAAATCCCCTGAATTTAGGAGTGAGGATTCTATTTCATTTTGCTAAACTAGCCTGATGAGTTTTTGCAGAAGGCCAACATGCACTGGTGCAACATCCCTATGCTTTTGCCCCCTTGACTCAACTTAATGCATAGAAAGGCACTGGTCAACAAGTGTTCTGTAGGAAGCTGTATTGCCCAACACTAAGACAGCAAGATGCTGAAAGCACTATGGCTTGTGTTTTGCCATCTACTAGACTTTTTTAAAAAAGATATTAAAAAGAGAAAGCCTTAAAAGATATCATCAAGGATTAGGTTTGCCATGCAAGTCCACAGACTATTTTGTTTCAAATGCTCTTCTTCCCCTTTGGTCACCCAAGATACCCACCTTTCTTTGGTTATTTCATCTTATTTGTTAGCACCGTGTTTTAACTAATGCACATGGACCTATTACAAAGAAGCAGGGAAGAGGAATCAACACAATCCACATTTTAGATTGTTTTGTTTAGTCTCTACCTGTTCTGTTGACTCCTTCAGGGCTCTATCATGGTCTCCCACGATGACAGTCCAATGCAGTGGTCTGTTTGTTCTGTAAAATAGAAATAAATGCACTGAATCTGTGTATAACCAGCCTTACGTATGCCTTATTCAGCATACTGAGCATCTTTTGCTTGGTCTTCAGTACCAGCTTAATTAGTCACCTAGCTCCCGGACTGACGAGTCAGAGTTTTGCCATGACAAAGTCTTTTACAAGTGGAAGTTGCTGAAATACACCAGGTATAATTTCATGTGAACCCCCTCTCCCGCACTGAGCCAACATTTTTCAAAGGCTAAAACAGAGCCTTGGAATCAAGCAAAGGAGTGTTTTATAAGTGGGAGTAAAAAGAAAAGGTGTATTAGTGGCACCTTAGAGACTAACCAATTTATTTGAGCATAAGCTTCCGTGAGCTACAGCGTACTCCTTTTCTTTTTGCGAATATAGACTAACACGGCTGCTACTCTGAAATAAGTGGGAGTATGGGTACTTTTCAGCATTGTTTCTCTATCCTAGAGGAGGGGACATACCACTGTCCCAAAAAGACTATCTGTGCACATAGAAGCACAGGGAAGCCTTTGCCAGACAGGTTTACTCACGATTGTATACAGTGGGCTGCTGTGAGTACCCATGTTGGACTGATGACAACACCGCCACACTGATGGTCACCTAAGAATTGCAAGCCTGCCTGCCAAGGCCAGCAATGGGGACATGCTTCTTCTCCCCCAACAACACGTCCGGACAGCCACTGGGGACTAAACGGGGGGAAGCCACAGACATCTGCAACACAACAGCCAGAAAGCTAGTGAGCAACACTGACTTCCAAGACTGTCTCTTCCTTTGCATCTATCACATTTGTTTCCTTTGCAACTAAGACTATAAAGCAGAGACACCCCAAAAAGATGCAGTATAGCAGGCACCCTTTGTAGGGATAGCAGCTGGGTGTGGTCACTTATTTTGAGCAGAAGAAATGCAAGCTTGATGTAGGTGGCTGAGAACTTGAATTATGGACAGAGGTTCCATATTATACCGCAAAGACCAAATAAGGCCCAGACGTAGATGTTAGTATCTTTCTCCCATCCTATAAATACATGGATCAATTTCAAGTTTTCCTCACCAAATCAAGGTTAGAAAGGATTAAACTAGATGGATAGTGTGGCACTGGATGGGCACAACCCCTGAAAGATAAGTGGGCATTTCTCCCCATTGCTTCACTCTGAATATGCTTTATACCCCCTTACTGTGTATACCTTACATCCCCATACCCTGAAATCCTAGATCCCATGTGCACCTACACCACTGCAGTCTATTTCCTAAGGATCCTCTGGTTATAAGTCAGGAAGAACTATTGACCCAGCCCATTACAATGAATTTTTTACCAGCTTACCTAAAGGGATGTTCTTTGGAGTGGCCGTCTGTAGAACAATTGGTTCTGCAACTACTGATTCAGCTTCTTCTGCTGAAGACAGAATAAATGGAATCTATTTTACTCCCAAGGCACCAGTCATGGCCCCAACCCCTCCTCCTCCTCCTCCTCCCCCCAAAGCCCCAACCCTGCAGAAGGAACTCCTACAAGTGAAGGCCAGATCCTTCAATGTTAGCAGCTGGCATATAAGAGTGAAGCAACGGCAGTTACGCAGGGGACTGTTACCCCATGTTCCCACGCCCACTGCTGTAATAGGACAGCAGTCTCTGGATGGGATGCTTCTAGAAGTAGTTCAGAATGCCAGAGTCTGCGAGTTTCAGGTAACAAAAGTGGTCAGTGTCCTATCAGTGTTCCCCAGTGTGGGAATTCTGATTCCTTTCCATTGTTGAAAGGACTGAATTCTGCCAGTAGAAACTGTTCCATCTTTAACTGCCCCAGCATAGCGAAAGGGGATAATTTCAAAAATAAGACCAAGAATTCAGAAAACATAACAAAGGTCTTTCTACCAACCTGAAGGAACAAAGGTGAATCTGGCCTTAAATCCTCTGAAATTGTTCTCCCCATCACTTTCAAAATGTATTAACATTTCATTGCCAGGGCTCCGAATTGGGCTGGGGATTGAGAACCCACACAGATTGGCTGTAAGAAAAAGTGAGGAAACCCCCATACTTTTAAAATTCAGAATATCACTTTAAACTCACTTCCAGCTTTGCTAAACTATGTCCACAGGAGGAAAAACCAAACAGGGACTTGTAATTTTCACTTGGCTCAAAAAGCCATTTTGTGGGTGGATTTTTTTTTTTTTAAATCTGAAACAAAGACGTTTGCCAGGTCCAGTCAAAAGGTATCCAAGGAGAAGGAAGTAGAGGCCCAAATTAAGCTACTATATACTCTCAGGAATGAGACAACCTCCTAATTTTCCCACTATGTGAACTAAACTAACATAAAACAAGTTTGCTGCATAAGTGCCTCCCACCAAGAGAGCCTCTTAAAAAGACCTGCATTTGCCATCTGTATATGATGGGCACTCAATGCTTCTTAAACCTGCAAACACACGTCAGCCACCATTCTGAGGACCTGGAGTAGAACGAGCAGCTCCCCTTCTCTCTCTGTGCCTATATAAAGCACCCAGTCTCCCTAGTGCCCAGCTGTTAATTAGAGCTGCTTGGAAATTTTCCACCAGAATGATATTCCAACAGAAAATGTGGATTTTGAAAAAACAAACAAACAAGTCCCCAAAAATGTTGCTGGAAACTTAGGATTTTCCTCAAGAAAATCTAAATAAAAGCTCTGAGCTTCCAGGATCACTGTATGAGGAGTCTGGGAGTCCATGGAAAAGGCTAAAAAGTTCTGTTTTGGTTCTCCCCAATGGGACTTTTAAAAAAAAAAAAAATAGAATTTAGCTCCCATAAAATTTATTTGAATCTGTGACTTTGTCCTGATTCAAAATGAAAACATTTCCAAGACTTCACAATTTTTTTGTGGTTTTCTGGTCCACTCTAGTGCTAATATTTATTTTAAAAAAGCCTTATACATCACATTAAAGACATGTGAAGTACGATGACCATCAGGTTGCAGATGGACAAACAGAAGAGAATTGGCTTGCCCAAGGCCAAGTGGCAAAGCCAGGATCATAATTCAGAATTTCTTGCCTCTCATTCCTCCCATTGTACTAGCTTCCCCTCCTCCCCCTGGAGTCAGGTACAAGTCTGCTGTCTAAAAATTGTCCTGAAATTTTGTAATAAGCATCTCCCACTTTGAGTACAGAGTTATTTTTCTTCTTCAAAATGGAAATGTGACTCTGTGAATTGTGTTTCAACTCACACTGTGTGGAGGAGAGCCGTTCCATGTCACAAAGGATTGAGATTTTGAAGTCTGGCTTCATTTCTACTTGGAACAAAACCCCCAAATTTCAAAATTCTCAAGGGAATATTCCAAACTGCAAATTTAAGAGTGAAATGTTGTTCACAATATTGTTACAGCTGTGCTCTCTCTCTCTGCTATCCTGGGACCAAGGTGGGTGAGGTAGTATCTTTTATTGGACCAACTTCTGTTGGTAAAAAAAGACGCTTTCCAGCTGAAAGAGCTCTGTAACTTGAAAGCGTCTCTCTTTCACCAAGAGAAGTTGGTTCAATAAAGTATATCCCCTAACATTTCACCCTGAAAGATAAGGTAGGTATTATTTTGATTGAGAGACTTTGAATTTTAGATCATAAAATAAAGATTCTAAACAAAGATGTTTGTAAACAAAATGTTTCATTTTGACATTAGTAGATTCACCTCCCCTTCCCCCCGATTTTGTTATGAAACAAAGTCCAGCAAAACTGGTCAGGTTTCATGAAGTGTTTCAATTTTGACAGACCTGCATAGTCCAGCAGACTACAGTTCTGTGAAAGTCTCCCTGACCAGCTTTAATTTTTACCTTCTTTGAATGCAACAAAGCAGCTGGAAACAAAGTGGAGAACCAGCACCATGGACTGCAAGGTGCCAAGCACTCTGTCCCCATCCCACAGAGCATGGGAGCACATACTTCAGTGCTTTGCTGGATCAGCAGCACAGCTCAGCACCCGGCAGGATTAAGCCCAACATGACCAGTCAGATCTCTGCAGTCCCCCAGCAAGAACTCCACGGGTTTGGGAACCACTATGGCACTGGAACACCCTGCTGTACTGAGATGTGCAAGGAGGCAGAGTTAAGGCTGTTGTAGGAACCTTCATTTTGCATTTTCTGACTAAAGTGGTTTAATTCTACCACTGAAGTGTCACTAATGTAGCTTGTATTTCTTTTGGCAGCAAGCTATTTAAGTCTTCTTTTCTGTAATGGATTGTACATGTGAGATTGAACTAATTCACGGCTACCTAGCTGGTGCTCATCTTCCGTGTCACTGTAAATGACAACTGCGTCATAGATACAGCCCGCGCTGAATTCAACAGCAAAGTCTTCAAACTCCAGCTGGAAAGAGAAGATGGGGGTGGGGGAGGGGGAGAGAAGAGTTAATAACTGGGGCCTTTTTTGTTTTACCCTCTTTGTAAGCAAAATGTTGACTCTAAAATTAACTCTGAGTCTTAGTCATTACCAAGATTTGAGTAACCGCTAAAGAGCCTTAACCCTGTTCCTAGTGCACCCTAAAAGAAGGTCAAATGATACATGGACTCTAAATCTATCACAAAGTTTACTTGGAGCACCTCTTGTAGTGGAACTGACCCATCATGCAGTGGAACTAAGTTTGTCCCTTTCCGGCCAGTGTTGCTTTCTGTAATCAGCAAAAAGCTGAAGAGTTTGCGAAGGCTGAACCACAGAGGTGGGTTTAAATAGAAATGGTCATTTTTTTTTTGAAGTTTTTAAATCAAAGCTTACATTTTCTCTTTAAAACTCTCACATTATTATCACCACAACGACCCTTTAAAAATCCAAACCATGGTTGGCTGCCATTGGAATTCTGAAACACTCAGCAGCAACAATAGCGTCACCTGTATAGAAACCTCGAGCGTGTGAAGTACTTTCAGTGTCTTAATACAAACAGCAGATTACAGAACTGTATGAGCATTAGTGTGAGGACTGCCCATGAGCAACAAACCTGCATGCACTTAAGCAGACATAGGTTTAATGGATTCTTTGCTTTTACAGAGGACAGACATTGCCTTGGACAGTACAATACAGTAGCTTTATTTTTATCTGTGGGTGAGGTTAATCCAACAGGTAACCTCACTTTAGCCGGTGCAATTGCAATGACAGTGGGAGGAAGGGTAGGCATCAAACTGCAACAGCAAGAGGTCACTTCCAGCACCCCCAGTAGGAACAGTCATCACATGTGTTGGTCCAAGCTACTGCTTGCTTAGCTCAGTACCATGTCTGCATGTTTAACACTCTAATGGAAGAAGGGGACTAGATAGAGAGCAAGAAGGGCAGGTTGTCAGGTTCCCCAGCCCTACTGAAACCTTGTATTGTCTTTCCCAAGATGCAGTTACATTAATTGGAAGGGCTGGTACCAACCAGCTTCAAGCATCTACAGCAGCTCAGTATGCCAGTTCATACAGGGCTATACACACCATCTGAATTGGTTAAAACACACCCTGCGAGAAGCCTAAGCTGAAAACCTTAGGTCTTACAAGCTTGTGCATTGTAGATGTTTCCAGCAGGATTTTATTGAATTGCTTCCCTGAGCAGTCAATGGCAGAGGTTTAAGAGCAGTATCTCCTGTCACTGGGGAGATGGTTGGGGTTGGTCCTGCTTTGAGCAGGGGGTTGGACTAGATGACCTCCCGAGGTCTCTTCCAACCCTAATCTTCTATGATTACCTTTATGACATTCTCTACCGGGGCTTCAATGAACCAATGGCACTTCACGTTACTGGGATACGAGCCAGGGTAATTAGCAGTATCAATCTTTCCCTCTTCCACCAGCACTGCAACACTTCCACAGCCAGAACCTATCACATTGGTTTAAGAAGAAAAAGTCAGATTTAATAGCAAAGTTAAAAAAAACAAACACAAAAAAAACCAAATGCCTACCACCACCGTGTGTACCAGAGATGGTTTCTTTGGTTTTAAAGGGGGTTGGGTGGCAGAGAAGTATGTACAAATGGTATGTCTGAAGTCACCTGCTTCCGATTCCTTATGTATAGCTGTGAAGGTGAATTCAAAGCCACTGCCGGTGTTGCTTCCATCAGAAATGAGAGTAACCATTGCTCGGTTAGAGTCTATCAGCAGCGGGGCTGGTAACACATCCCCACAGATTTTACCTACAGGGAAAAGGTTAGACCTTTATTGTGGTATTGCTCACACACACACACTTTGTCAGGCAGCTTACTTTTTCAGATTCACTAAACTGTATACAATATTGGAAAGTCACGTATTCCAGAGAAGACTCAGATGACTATTCCAGCATCAGTTTCAGTTACCTATAAGGTAAAATGTTTGGAGACAGAACTGCATCCAAAACCTCCACACAGGCAATTCAGCTCAAGGTTTCATGGTGGGATAGTATGGGCACATAGCCACTAGTACTGTTCAGAGTATAGAAGGAGCAAAGATTTGCATGAAATATTTATTCTTTAGCAATTCAGTCTCAAGAATGGATAATAAATTTAGACTGTAAGGGAAAAGTACTTAGTCATTATTTATCCATAAAGCGACAGACATATTTATTGTGCTATACAAGTCAAAAGTTTGAGTCAACAAGATTTGTCAGATAATTCTGCCTATGTCTTTATCTCGCATGTTCTGCTTTGTACCATTGTCATTGACCTCCAATAAGGACTCCAGCATCGGAAACTGGCTGGCAGTTTTGTTGATGTATGAGGCCAATTAGATGACAGTTCAGCTACATGGGGCTAGTAGGAGTGAAAACTTGTCTAAACACAAGGCAGAAATAGGGCTTGAAAAACACAGTGGAGAAAGACTTTACACAGACAGTTTTCAGACTATATAGTCACGCACTAGCAGTCAGAATGGACATGAATATCTACCTTCCCCCTACCTCCATTACTTAGCTTTGACAGCTTCAGTGCCAGGGCAAATGACAGTGAAAGGTTCCTTATTTGTAATAAGACATAAAAGGGCTCTAACATCAATGTTCACGTTTCAGATGGCATGGCAGGCAATCAGCAAAAGTATTGAAAAGGAGAGATTAAGGCATTCCACGTACCAATTAGCTCTCTTTTGTCCGAATACAAGGACACGTAGTCATGGTCACACGTGATCTGGCTCTCTATGTCTAACCTGGTGAACTGTATTAATATAATCTTGTCTTCTGGCACAATTATATTCCACACGCATAGGCTCAAAACAAAGAAACAATTAAGTTAGACAACAGAATCACAGCAAGAGTGAAATTCATGTGACTGCATCCTTCCTTCCCAAGCAGCTCCAAGGGGTGGTGACAGGGGGTTCGGCATGCTGGAGTGCAAGAGGGAGTTTAAAAGACACCAAGGACAGAGCACATAGTCATAAAGCAAAGTAGTTTATGCTTCTTCCCAGAACTATCACCTTCCTCCTTCACTCTGCCCTGCATCACCACCTAGTCACCCACTTTAACTTGGTCTGCCCTCAGCATTAAAGAAAAAGAGTACTTGTGGCACGTTAGAGGCTAACCAATTTATTTGAGCATGAGCTTTCGTGAGCTACAGCTCACTTCATCGGATGCATACCGTGGAAACTGCAGAAGACATTATATACACACAGACCATGAAACAATACCTCCTCCCACCCCACTGTCCTGCTGGTAATAGCTTATCTAAAGTGATCATCAAGTTGGGCCGTTTCCAGCACAAATCCAGGTTCTCTCACCCTCCGCCCCCCCCCCCCCCAACTCACTCTTCTGCTGATAATAGCCCATCCAAAGTGACAACTCTCTTCACAATGTGCATGGTAATCAAGGTGGGCCATTTCCTGCACAAATCCAGGCTCTCTCACACCCCCCCCCCCCCGGAAACATACACACACACACACAAACAAACTCACTCTCCTGCTGGCAATAGCTCATCCAAACTGACCACTCTCCAAGTTTAAATCCAAGTTTAACCAGAACGTCGGGGGGGGGGGGGGGGAGGTAGAAAAAAACAAGGGGAAATAGCCACTCCCAGTCTCTATTTAAGCCTAAATTAATAGTATTCAATTTGCAAATGAATTCCAATTCAGCAGTTTCTCGCTGGAGTCTGGATTTGAAGTTTTTTTGTTGTAAGATAGCGACCTTCATGTCTGTGATTGCGTGACCAGAGAGATTGAAGTGTTCTCCGACTGGTTTATGAATGTTATAATTCTTGACATCTGATTTGTGTCCATTTATTCTTTTACGTAGAGATTGTCCAGTTTGACCAATGTACATGGCAGAGGGGCATTGCTGGCACATGATGGCATATATCACATTGGTGGATGTGCAGGTGAACGAGCCTCTGATAGTGTGGCTGATATTATTAGGCCCTTTGATGGTGTCCCCTGAATAGATATGTGGGCACAGTTGGCAACGGGCTTTGTTGCAAGGATAGGTTCCTGGGTTCGTGGTTCTGTTGTGTGGTATGTGGTTGTTGGTGAGTATTTGCTTCAGGTTGGGGGGCTGTCTGTAGGCAAGGACTGGCCTGTCTCCCAAGATTTGAGAGAGTGTTGGGTCATCCTTCAGGATAGGTTGTAGATCCTTAATAATGCGTTGGAGGGGTTTTAGTTGGGGGCTGAAGGTGACTGCCAGTGGCGTTCTGTTATTTTCTTTGTTAGGCCTGTCCTGTAGTAGGTGACTTCTGGGAACTCTTCTGGTTCTATCAATCTGGTTCTTCACTTCCGCAGGTGGGTATTGTAGTTGTAAGAATGCTTGATAGAGATCTTGTAGGTGTTTGTCTCTGTCTGAGGGGTTGGAGCAAATGCGGTTGTATTGCAGAGCTTGGCTGTAGACAATGGATCGTGTGGTGTGGTCAGGGTGAAAGCTGGAGGCATGTAGGTAGGAATAGCGGACAGTAGGTTTCCGGTATAGGGTGGTGTTTATGTGACCATTGTTTATTAGCACTGTAGTGTCCAGGAAGTGGATCTCTTGTGTGGACTGGACCAGGCTGAGGTTGATGGTGGGATAGAAATTGTTGAAATCATGGTGGAATTCCTCAAGGGCTTCTTTTCCATGGGTCCAGATGATGAAGATGTCATCAATATAGCGCAAGTAGAGTAGGGGCGTTAGGGGACGAGAGCTGAGGAAGCGTTGTTCTAAATCAGCCATAAAAATGTTGGCATACTGTGGGGCCATGTGGGTACCCATAGCAGTGCCGCTGATCTGAAGGTATACATTGTCCCCAAATGTAAAATAGTTATGGGTAAGGACAAAGTCAAAGTTCAGCCAGCAGGTTAGCCGTGACATTATCGGGGATAGTGTTCTTGACGGCTTGTAGTCCATCTTTGTGTGGAATGTTGGTGTAGAGGGCTTCTACATCCATAGTGGCCAGGATGGTGTTATCAGGAAGATCACCGATGGATTGTAGTTTCCTCAGGAAGTCAGTGGTGTCTCGAAGGTAGCTGGGAGTGCTGGTAGCGTAGGGCCTGAGGAGGGAGTCTACATAGCCAGACAATCCTGCTGTCAGGGTGCCAATGCCTGAGATGATGGGGCGCCCAGGATTTCCAGGTTTATGGATCTGGGGTAGTAGATAGAATATCCCAGGTCGGGGTTCCAGGGGTGTGTCTGTGCGGATTTGATCTTGTGCTTTTTCAGGAAGTTTCTTGAGCAAATGCTGTAGTTGCTTTTGGTAACTCTCAGTAGGATCATAGGGTAATGGCTTGTAGAAAGTGGTGTTGGAGAGCTGCCGAGCAGCCTCTTGTTCATATTCCGACCTATTCATGATGACAACAGCACCTCCTTTGTCAGCCTTTTTGATTATGATGTCAGAGTTGTTTCTGAGGCTGTGGATGGCATTGTGTTCTGCACGGCTGAGGTATGCATCCGATGAAGTGAGCTGTAGCTCACGAAAGCTCATGCTCAAATAAATTGGTTAGTCTCTAAGGTGCCACAAGTACTCCTTTTCGTGTTAGGTTAGTTTGTATTCACAAAAAGGCTGTTACTCTGAAACCTCAGCATTAAGTGTTCTTAAAGCCCCCCAGTTCACTCCTGGTGTGTGTTTCCACAACCCTAACATAGGGAAATTCAGAGGGTTGGCAATATTCCTTCCCCCATCTCCATTCAGAATGGATGGATTAAACCAGGTGTGTGCGTGCACATTTACAACCCTATATCCATCATCTCACAGTCATAGCCAGATCAGCTCAGGCTAGGATATCACCAGCTCCAGCTAAGAAGTAATAAGAAACATATGCTGGGTTTTTAATAGTGGTTAGCGCAACACAAAGTGCTTCACTGCAAGAGAGAAGAGTCAGTTCTCTCCTTTGCGCTCAGACTTTGGATCTGTGCTATGCTGCCAAATGGATTGTGTCCCCAGGCAATTCATAGCAAGAGAGGAAGCCAGTAAAATACTCACACATGCAAAAGCATCTACCAGCTTATGGCCAGGGTTACTGAGATCTTAACCATTTGCATTCCCCAAATAGTGACTGGGCTCACTGGGCTAAAGTCATGCCCAGGATAAATGCAAATCAAGTCAATAGTTATTCTGGCACTGAATTTGGCCAAGTCTATGCACAGCCTCCATATTGCACAGCTAAAATGTATACAAGGGCTTACAGGGCATATCCACATTAGGACAAAACATGACCCTTTAATATCTGTTAGCAAACAACTCAAAACTTTAGAGTATACAGAACTAGTTATTTTTCAGCACATTATTCAACCCACTAACATGTTAAAGAACAGCTTGCCAGGTATATACTGGAGTTCACACATTTTTAGAACAAAACCACCTTTTATCCTAGTGTGGATAGGCACACAGGCACCCGTAGTAGAGACAAAATGGCATCTCTTTGTTAGGCCAGGCCAGTAGGATCTGCAATAGGCTCATCTCATCTGGCGGTTTCTTTTGGCACATCTCCAGCTCTCAAGCCTCTTCAGAAGACATTAAGGGATAGATCTGTTCCCACTGCAAGTCCTAAAGACTTCAATGGTTGCAGAACCTGACACTAGAACAGTTTAAGAATTTTAACGTTAAGCTAATTCATAGGCTCAATCCAAGTGCATCAATTTTATGAGTGCAGTTCCTGTAAGGACTAACAAAAGTCGTGTTTCTCATTCTAACATGCTATTTCTGGGTAACCATTGTTGCCCAGTACCGATCCCAGACAAGCAAACATCACTACAGAGATGTTTAACTCTGGATACTAATTTTAAGGTTGACACATACCCACAATTTCAGCCACAAACTATTGACTTGATTGTGTTCACTGACTCAGTCAGGAGTAAGAATTCATGTATTTGCAGGCTGAAGTCCTATGGCTAGAGCGATGCATGCAGTCAAAGGAGATAGTCATCCCTTCTGGCCTTACCGACACAAACAAAGCACCCTATGAAAAGTGACCCTTCACAGAAGGGCAAGCGTTTTTGATGACATACAGGTGAATACCTGTTATCTAGGTAGTTACTCTCACTGGGCTGGGGATACCGAATGCGGCCACTTTCTCCAAAGACCAGCATTCCATGGGAGCTGCATCCTTCAGGAAAGTGTGGGGGAAGGTGATCTGGCTCTGCAGCTAGAAAGAGAAGAGCAATGGGTAAAATACAATTCTGACACTGGCATTGTTTGGGAGAGGCAGGTCTACAGTTCATGCAACCATTCAATTAATGCCACTTCACACCCTGAGTGCTTGAGGAAAAACTCAGATGGGTCTCAAGTGGTAACCACAATTCTTCTGAGGCCAGGTCAACACTAGAGACCAATATCAGTGTAACTATGTCGTTCAGGGATGTGAAAAATCCACACCCCTGAGGCTTTGTCTACACTACTGTGATAAGTCGACCTACGCTATGCAACTCTAGCTATGTCAATAACGTAGCTGGAGTCGACATATCTTAGGTTGAGTTACTGCGGGGGGCCATCGACTTACCGTACTCTTCTCATTGGAGGTAGAGTACAGGGGTCAACTGGAGAGCGATCTGCTGTCTATTGGGTGGGTCTTCACTAGACCCGCTAAATTGACCACTGGTGGATCGATCTCAGAGTGTCGATCCTGGCTGTAGTGTAGACCTGCTCTTAGTGACGTTGTTATACCGATTCAATCCCTGGTGTACACAATGCTATATCAGCAGAGAGCTTCTCCCATCAACGTAGCTACTGCCTCTTGGAGAGGTGGATCAATTACACTGACGGGAGACGCATAGGAGCATCTTAAGTCCTACAGCGGCGCAGCTGCATTAGTACAGCCTTTTAAGTGTAAGCCTGCCCTTAGAGTTCTGCTTACAAATGAAGCAAAGTCCTTTGCAAGTGTGAATCAAAGTCAATAGAGCTACACAGATTTACTCCAGTTGAGGCTCTAAATGCACTATTTTATCAATACTATTTCTATGGGTTACGGCTTAACTCTGCTCATTCTCTAACTGTGCTCGTCGTTTGAGTTGCAAGAATCTTCCAAGTTCTGCTTTGCAGGGTTCATGCGAACGTTTTTTACTCTGGTTCTACTTAATATTTATTATTCCAGAATAAGAGGCACTGTATGGTTGCAGACTAGTTCTTCCCTTTATGAGGATATCAGCTCCGACAAGATACTGTGGCAAATAAGTAATAGCACAGATGAAGTGTATGTCATAAACTTTAACTTTGACTGCTGTGACAAAAACAATGCCCTCTATTCAATAGATTCTATTTGAACTGCAGTGATAAGTGTATGGAAGTGTCTGATCAGGCTATAGGGAATTCATAGATCTGTTTATAGCTTTAAAAGTGTAGTTCTGATAATCAACTTAAAAAAATGGCAAGCTTATTCCACAGATCTGCTCTGTGTGTGTGTGTGTTTAAAGCCATATTTGCTCCAAATCAATAGTGTGGACCATTTCAGGGATTCTACAATAGCAATTTACAGATCCCCAGTTGACAAGGATTAGAAAATCTATTTTATAAGAACTGGACACGTTTTCTAGGCCAGAGAAGTGCTTCTCAAAAAAAATCAACAAAACCACATGCACCTGGAAATGCTAGCTGGATTGGCCCTCAACATTCCATTTAGTGGGGCATGTTGATCAAAGCTGTCCTCAAAGCATTACGGCAGAGGGGCCCAGATACAGATGCTGTTCAAGAGAGGTGATTTCCCCACTTCCTGCTCTAAAATGAGAAGTACTTCACATTGTGTGCACCTTGATGGCAACACTCTAGAGCCTAACCGTGGAGCTTATGGCATTTATCTTTAGAGCCTCATGATAAACAAGCAGGAAAAGAGAAAACTTGCTAGTAAATGTACCCACCGGGGATAATGTTCTGTGTGATGAAGTCCATCAGTTCAGCTACATTGGAAAAGATGCCGGGGGAACCCCTTTTGTTGATGCTTTTCTCAAGGGCATCCCAGCCTCTTGCACAGCCAACTCCCCATGATGTGACACCAGCCAGAGTCCAGATGCCACTGGCTCTTCTACACACGAGGGGACCTCCAGAATCACCCTTACCCAGCACGGTTTGGGGGAGGAGAAAGGGAAAAAGAGCAGATATTTGTTCAAATGCAATGATTCAGATTCAGTGTTTCACCTCTCAGAGTAGAAGTTGCAGCTCTTTGGAAGATCGAAAGAAAGGTTCAGCATCACTATACGTCTGTTAACCGTTCCCGCCCCCTTCACGCTAAGATGTTAACATCCGCATTGCAGCAGTACCTCAGCCAACGGACTACACCTGGCTCTCCTGCAACAGCAGCACAGTGGACTGTGTGTGGAGTGCAGGGGGAGAAAAGAACCACTTGGTCTCCTGGCAGTAGACGCACCCCTCTACCAGAGAGACCATGGGAAAGGTTGGTGTTCTGATGGACACCGCTGCCAGCAGCTGTGATAGGTATGGGGAGGAGGGGTGACTACAAGAGAAACCAATACATTAAGTAGAAATGGTCAAGGTATGTTTTTTTAAAGCCTAAAGAGAAGGCAAGAGACTCACTTCAGCCTCCTCCCTCCCAGTACAGTGGTATCATGTACCCCTGAGGCTCTCTCTCCTGTAGTCTCTTGGGCTGCCTGCTGCCACTGTGCGCCCATCTGTGCAGTTTCACCAGTAGTAGCAACAGGAGCTTAGACAGGGCTCAGGCATATCATTCACCATGTCATCTGATCCCATTCAGGCCAGCTCCAGACGAAAAGGTGGTTAAATACACCAGTTCCTTGTCTATAGCAGCACTCCTACCAGTGGGAAATTTCCCCCAAAAGACTAGGATAGACAAGGCCTTCATTAGCCTCAAGATCCTTTTAAGGCCTCAGTTCAGTAGCAACATACAAGTAGTAGTGGACAAGATTCAATTCCTTTCCTTCCTTGTCTTCCTCCACCCCTCCCTCTTTAGGGCATGTTGCCATTCCGGTAAGCAAGAATACAGGAGTGACTGGTGGGAAGGGTTGGAGTCTGCCTCCATTTGGAGAACTCACTATACAGAAAGACCCTGCCGAATGCTGACCCTTTACCTTGCACGCATCCTTCCCACCATCAGGAAAGCCAGCACATAGCATGGAGCTTGCTACTGGAGGCAGATTCATTTGCTTTAACAGGGCACTGCAGGTTCGCCTATCAATGATGGGGAGCTCCACCTCCTGTAGAACATTAGATAGTTCACCAGCTGCAGAAGGAAGGAAACAGGCAACATCAGACATCCTAGAACCCCCCCTCCTTGCTTCAGAGCAGGAAGTTATGCTGCAGATCTAGAGCCACATCCTGGCTACCATGATTTCATTCAGTATTATACAGGCAGGGCTGACAATGCTGCCTGTCTCTTATTTAGATTAGCTGAGACCTCCGGTTAAAAGAGCTTGTTTTCAGGTCTGTATACTTTCACCCAACTAGAACCCTTTGAGCTGACATTTTCCATGTTGGTGTCTGCCTCAGGCAGACTTGTTCTGAAAAGTTTCAGCTGAAATGGTTCGACCACATCCATGAACAAGGCTAGGGGGAAAAAAAACACATTGATTTGCCCTGGTAAAATCATTCTAGTGACATTTGCTCTTAACTGCTCTGGTGCTCCCATGCTTTGGAGCAGGGACCTGCAATTTAGCAGGGGGGTGGCTTGGTGTCAGGGATGTACCTGTTACAACAAATTTAGGCAGACTTTCATGAGGACAGCAAGTCTTTGAAAAAACACTGCTAGAACTGGCCTGGGTAGGGTTGATTCTGAGCACTGGAATTGAGATCAGGTGGCCTGTTTCTCTGTGCTGCACCTGAAGTCAATGGGAGCTTTGCCTTGAGCATATAAAGGGCTACATAATGCTATGCACAAGCAACCTTAATCCTAGCATTGCTTAATTTGAGTGCTTGACCTTGCAACCTTAATAATGTTCTTTTAACAGTTTGTGTATGTAAGCTAAGGCCCAAGTGATCCCATTATGTATTTAAAAAAAACTAGGAAGAAGGCGGAGATGCATCATCTAGTGGTTATCTAATGCACAAAGATTACAACTAGATCATGGAACTACGGCATCAGAAGATTGGGTTCTATTTCTAGCCCTTCCACTGACTCATGTGGCCTTCACCAAGTCACCTCCATGCTTTGGTTTCCCCATCCGCATGATTGGGATGGGGAGGATACTTCTCTACTTCACAAGGGTGTGATGGAGCTTAATTAATTGTTCACAAAAAGTTGTGAGATGGGTAGAGGAATAGCGTTATGGAGCACCAGAGTAAGGAGATTCCAAGGCTCTGCCCAGGACAGTGCTTCTGGCACACTGGTCCTTTGCACATCATGTCTGGAAGAGACCTTCAGAGCACAGCATAGTTTGTCATGCTATCAGCAAAATAGAGAACCACTGATTGGCTTTTTCCCTTGGAGAGATGTTCTATTTCTATTGTAGAAACAAGGCGACTCCCTTTTCTTTATCTCAGTACCCACACATCAATGTTGTCATTGTAAGAACCTGACATTTTACTTACCCTCAGACACCCTGCCCCAGCCACTAGCAACACAAAGAGTCCCGGCCACAAATTTATCATCTTTGTGGGGAAGGCAGATTGGCTGAACCCTATGCCCTAAGAAGGAAAGTGCACACAAATGTGAGTACATGAACTCCAGGCTGTCGGAAGTGATTCTCTCTGCACAATGTCCTTTATTGTGTGAACAGAATGGATCAAGGTCCTTTGAACTAGACATTTTTCTAAAGCAATTCAATCAAACAGCTAAAAGTAAATCAAGTCAATCACCTTTAAATTGAAGTAATCTTGAGAAGTCACATTGTTTTAGAGAAAAAAACATGAACAATGTTTTGGCTGGCCACATTCAAGTGAAACTTAGCAAGCAAGAACCAGACTAGAGGAAAGAGACAAGGGCGGTGGGAGGGAAAAGAAGCAGCAGCATGAAGGACAGAAAAGGGAACTGTCCTATGTACAATTCTCTTACAGCCCGTGATAGTGACAGGTTGTAGATCCTGTTGAGCATTCTATTCTCTGCAGACAGGAATGCTGACCATATGTCACGAGAAGTGGAGTTCTGATTTACACAGGACACTCAAAACTAAAAATTTGCTCAGCTCTGCTCTCAAACTAGGTGAATACCGTTGTAGGTTTCTTTTTGGGGATCAGAGGAGAAAGGGATCAAAAGCTACTTGATTTGTCTTGAAAATAAATGAATTAGGCCATGACATTGACAAACTTTAAAGAACACTTACCAGTGTAGAAGACAGCCCCACCTTCTCCTGGAGGGATTGTCCAGATGACTCAAAAGATGTTTTCAAGCATCATGACTGGAGACTTAAGTTTCTTTAGCCACAAAATAGGCACATAGGTAGTGGAAAAGCAAACCTCCTCTCACTGGCCTGCCAACAGGCCTCAACCCTTAACTGAACACTTCCTGGCTAACGAGTGTGGTTTGCTTTTCCATACCCATTCAATCCTCTCCACTGAGAGCTTCAAAAAGGTGCAACTTTAGTGCCACTTATCTCAATGATTTTGTGATGCTTAGACACCTGTCCACTGGGAGCTAGACTATGATAGACCAAAGTCATTTTAGAAGGGCCACTGATTGGAATTGTTACCATCAGGCCGACTTGGCCGCTGGTAATCATGGCCGACTTGGGTGGGATTTGATCAGGCAGCGAAAGGATCTATGTATCCCATATAGTCTCCTGACCCTCTATGAATCTGTATGCAAAAAGCCACACTCCAGAAAGCCTTTTAACATGGCTTTAAAATTCCCCTTGTGTTCACCTTTGCCGCTATGACAGATACCGGATGATTTGTGTTTAAATCAGGGAGATGGGCATTTAAATTTAAGCCTTCTCACTTTGCCAGATCCATTCAATGATGGAACAATCTGCTGTTTGTGGCATCACATCTCTTCCTCTTCACAAACAGTGGAGACTGGTGGTGCTGAATGAAGCGGACAAGGGGAGCAAGCTAATTAGAGAGGAGCGAGCTTTCCGAGAGGTAAAGAAAATATAGAATTACTACAACCGGAAGACAATTTGACTTTTTGTGCTCTCTAGTGTTGCAAAGATCAACAGTATGAAGAAAACATGAGAAGCCCCAGAACAAAGACTTGACCTGAGGGACAATTATTTGGACAAGATCACTAAGACTAAACTGGATTTAGCATGTATAATCTACTTGGCCAGAAGTAAAGACACTAACAGGAAGGTGTTTTATATGCTGGAAAGAGCATTACAGAGAGATAATAGAATAAAAAGTTGCTCTAAACTGGCAAGCTAGATATAGTGAAGGACCCTCTCTGAAGCACTTTCACTCAGTCTCCTCCCTTACCGTACTTTACTCTGTATTTCAGATATAGCAGAGCAATATCAGAATCCATGTAGCCAAGTCTGTTGAAGTCAGGGTGAACAATGACTTGAGAGACAGGAATGTTCTGTTCTTGCTCGTCTGCCTTTCTGAGGTTATGTTCTCCAACAGTCACAATGAGATTCTTCACTAGTTTCCTGACAAAAAAAGGGCAAGGTTAATGACAGAGAGGTTTGCCAACACACTTCAGTCTGTTACGCATGGAGCCAAGGCTGATAATTTCCTGTAAGAAACAGCTATGTACAAGCAATTCTCTCATTACTGGGAAGTTCAACACATGGAAAATGTGACCTTACTACATCCTTCCCTGCTTAGGGCCTGAATCTAGCCTTCAATAAGCAGGCTTTTTCCAGCTATGCTACTTTCACTTGGCCTTATGCCTTAAGGGGTCACCTTGCCTCAGGGTCAGAGTGCTAGAATACTGTTGAGAGATTTTATTTCTTAATTGACTGCCTTTTTGTTCTACCTCCCACTCAGTAATACGAGGACTCTTATAAGCTCTGGCCTGGACTTTGCTTGCAACAATGGATCACCTGCAGCCTTTAGACTAGGATCTTTAGAGAGGCCCAGGGCACCTTAAATCAGTGGGAGATGAGTGCTTAAGTCCTTTAAGGTGCTTTGAAAAAAATTTCCTGCTTGTTTTTAATTCATAGTGTTTGGGAGAAGGGGACACAGAAGGGAGAAGATTTGGAGGAGGAGCCCAAGTGAATAAAACCTTTGAGAGGGCTTTAGGAAGTTACATATACTTGAGACAAATGTTTAATATTTATTTGGAAACAGTCATGTCTCTGGTACAGCTCTTGGGGGTTTATGAACACAGCAACATGGCATTGTGCTTAATGAACTCAGGTATTTTGGTGCTGCCCGGGACAATCACACTGAGTTACTTCTTTTAGCATTTACCAAGTTAGTAAGCGACACTTAACCTTTATTGTACACTAAACTTACAGGTAATACATTGCAAATAAAAATAAAGGGATTTACTATATTCTCTTGAGACGGACAAGTTGTGCACAAACCTGATCTGATCTGTACAGGAGGGTAACAGATCAGGAAGTTATAGACAGAGGGGTAGGATGGTTTTTCACTGGACTAAGACTCTAAAAGTCTGGACTCAGTCCCCAGCTCCATCATGGGGATTGTCTACACAACAAAGAAAAACCTGCACAAGCCAGCTGACTCGGGCTCGCTGGTCTTGGCTGCAGGGCTATTTCGCTGCTGAGTAGACATCTGGGCTCGGGCTGGAGGACCCTATAGGACGGGAGGGTCCCAGAACTTGGGCTAAAGCCCGAGGCCAGAAGTCTACACAGCAATGAAATAGCCCTGCAGCCCGAACCACACGAGCATGAGTTGACTGGCTCGGGCCAGCTGTGGAGTTTTCTTTGCTGTGTAGACATCCCGGGTGACTTCAGGGGAAGTGCTTAACCTATCCATAGGCAGTATTAGGGTTCCTTTCTCCCGCTCTACAGTATGCCTGTTTTATAGATGCACACATGTGAACAACATGCGGTGTATTCAACAAATCTCCCATAAGCAGGTTGTGCAAACAATGTCTTTTCCTCTTCCTAACATTATCTGTCTCTCAATAACGCAGAGAAATGATTCAGAACTATGGAGACTGTGTCTCTCTCTTGGGAGATAAGTTTGGTAAAGATTTGTCAGAATTTCAATAAAGAGAAAAGAAAAAACATCAAGGATGTTTTCACAAATCCCGCCCCCCCCCCCGCCTAGTCTTTTAGGCAATCTCCAGAAATAAGTTAGAATTATTTCTGAGCTTCCAAAAAAAAAAAAAAAAAGTTCTAGCCCAGATACTGAACAGGTGAGGAAAAAAGGAGAAACCACAGTGGGTTCAGCTGTTGATTGTTTCCTACCGTCCTCAGTTCTCATATCTACAGCGATCATTGTTCCTAACAACTCCCGACCCCCACCCCTGACTCAGTGCTGAAGGATTTCAGAACCATTGAATAAGGGGTTCAAACCCCTCTCCCTCTGCTGGGTTTGAACAATTGACATTTCACCACCAGTTACTTTCAGCACGGAAGAATGTTTTAAAGTGCAGCAGAGAAGTACAGCAGACTACACCAGTTAACTATATAGGTGCTTTCCCTTGCAGTGCAGCATTCATCTCCCTCCTATTTTGTGTGGATTTAGCGCTGCTGAAAGGTACCAGGTTTCCAATCCTGGAGAGTGAAATCCCCCAATTAATCACAGATTAGGCACAGCGTGAGCAGTGGTAGCATGAGCTGTCAGCAGCTTTTTCCACCAGTGCACCTCAGTCGCTGAGCTAAAAGAATCACAATTTTGGTTTCCTTCCTCAGTTAGGGACAGTGAGATCCGGTGGACGGGGCAGTGGTCTGGGACTCAGGTGCCCTGCGTTCTATTCTGGTTCTTGTGCTAGTCTATTGAGTGTCCTTGTGAAAAAGTCACTTCACCTTTCTGTACCGCCAGTTCCCATCAGTAAATGGAAATGATGATTTTTCCCTCCTTTGAAAAGCTCTATGGATGCAGAGCACTATATAAAGGGCTTGGTATTATCATCATCTAAGATTAGTAAGGTCATTCAATCTCAGGGAATGTCCACACTTACCGTGGATTGATGCTGTGGCGATCAATCTATCAGGGGTCAATTTAGCAGGTCTAGTGAAGACCCACTAAATCGACCACAGATCACTCTCCTGTCAACTCTGGTACTCCACTGGAATGAGAAGCATAAGGTAACTCGACAGGAGAGTTTCTCCCATCGACCCAGCACTGTGTAGACACCGCAATAAGTCGACCTAAGCTATGTTGACTCCAGCTACATGAATAACGTTGCTGGAGTTGCGTAGCTTAGGTCCACTTAACCCCGTAGTGTAGACCCGCTCTCAGTTGCGAGCCAAGAAGAGGGCTAAACTGTGGTGGTTCTAGTGATAAAGTGGACTCAGACCACCAAATCAACATTGCAGTGGTATGGGGATATTTCACTCAGTAAAAGCTCCTTCTTTGGACAAAGTAGGTTCACTCAAAGCACAAGAGTCAGCTAGCATAGTCAGATTCCTAGCCATTATGAGCTCTACTACTATTTAACCCATGTAGAGAATGTTGAAGGTTTTAAATTGTGATCTGTGAACCACCAGTAATCAGGGAATCCTTCTTGGTGGTCCTTGAAGTGAAATATTCTGAGAACCATGGAGTGGGCAGCTAGGGTTTTGGGAGGAGTGAAGAACAGTGCTTAATTTGTAATGAAAGAGGCGCTGGGGCTCAAGCAATTTTTTAAAATTTCATAAAAAGGTTCAGCAAGCCCAGAGGTGCCGGGGCTATGAACTGCCAAGCCTACAGCTACCAGGGCTCACCCCTTGCAAGCCCCAGCACAAATTAAGCCATGGAGAAGAGCCATTAAGATCTATTGCTCTTGAAGCAGCTTGCAGAATGAAACAGTTGGAAAAACCCAATGGATTAGACGCTATTGCTCCACAAAGAGAGCATGAGTGTAGCACAGCACGGCCCTACTTCAGATATTCTAATGCCATTTTCTTCTCCAGCTGGGAAGCAGCACACACGCACACATATATAATGGAGCTTTCCTTCCTAATAGACAGGGGCTTTAATGAAGTAACTTAAAGGCTAAAGACAAAAACAGCATTCTCTAACTTACTGCTCAAGGGTGAATACGCAGTGAGCCGCAGTTACAACCACATCCTCTTGTATTAAACTGCCACCACAGAAGTGGAAACGACCCAACTTGAGAGATACCTTTACAAAAAAGAAAGTCACACACATTTAAGGTGAAGCTAGTTATACTGCCCTCTAAAAGAGCATCCAAAATAGCACAAAGATTGAGGAAGTTCTCCAGATCACGACAGATGGTGGTGCCAAAAAAAGGGAGGTTTTTGAACCCTCTCATTTCTAGAGAAGAATTCCCAAATGACTTGTGACCAGAGAAATGTCGTCTAAATTGTGGATTCACCCTTGATAGCTATCCTTAATTTCACGGATTGGGAAGAGCTGAAGCAGCAGAGTGTGGATAGAAACTTGGAATTCCCTGAAATGCAGAAGTGCCTAGAGGGAGTTCCTACTTACCATTATGTATCACCAGAAATTGTTTCATGGGGAGAAGATAGGACCATAGTAACAGGAAGCAGTAATGTTACATCCACTGACAGTGTCAAAAATTGCTAATTTACTTCCAAATGAAAGTCTGGAAGCAATGACCCAATCCTTTTATTACATGAACTTAAGTCGGCAGCGTGAGAGAACATTTCTGTGAAGTGAGACTTCCCTGACTTTGCCAACAGAAGAACCAATTAGGCAAGAATTCCTCAACCACAAATACAGCTAATCCAGCATTTTGCGCTACTATGAAGAAGCGACAGGTGAACTTTAGGACTCTTACAGCCAACAGAAGGACAGTACGCAATACTGTTATTAAAATGTGGGCAGTTTCCTTCTATGGAAGAGACAATTTTTGTATGTTAGAAGTATAAAAGAGTTTGGAACTTATTCCCTGAAGGTCAGACGTAACCCCAGAATTATCAGTTATTGGGAAAAAAATCCCTCAAACTAATCCACCCCATAGATTACATTCAAATCCTTTGTGAAAAGGTATGTGCTTTTGGGGACCAGTTCAGGCACAAAAATACCACACACATTAAACATTCAGGACTAGATCTTTAGCCGATATAAATCGGCATAGCACCACTGAATTCAGTAAATTTACTCCACCTAAAATTCTGGTCCCCAAAACTATAAACAACTTGTACCTTAGTAACTTCAGGGATTAAGGGAGAAGAGGGATTTTAAATTAAGATACAGGTTGGGAAAGGGCATTTGGCTCCTTATTGAATGCAGGCATCCTCAGTTACTGTCTAGGCCTTGAGAAAAAAAAATCACTTCTCCCTCAAGAAGTTACTGTCTTTGTGTCACAGACCTGCCAAGGTTGCCCCCCAGCCACTGAATTTCTGCCTCCAACAATTCTAGAAAATAATCCAGACAGCAGGAAACTTTTCTGGTTCTCCAAGTCAACAGGACGAACTCCACATTTCAATCCTACACCAGACAGAAAGGAAAATGTTATGCACTGAAACAACTTTGATACATACAAGTGTACCGCCTCGGGAGTCTCAACAGGACAAAGCTGATTTTGTAATCAATCTCTAACAGTACCACTAGTGGCCAATACTGGGAATTGCATGTTTAAGTACTGGATTATAAAGCCTTAAACCAGTGGTTTGCATCCCTGCGGGCACATCAACTCATCTAGATATTTGCCTAGTTTTACAACAGGCTACATAAAAAGCACTAGCAAAGTTAGTACAAACCAAAATTTCATACAGTGACTTGTTTATATGGCTCTATGTACTATACACTGAAAAGTAAGTACAATATTTATACTCCAATTGATTTTATAATTATATGGCAAGAATAAGTAAACAATTTTTCAGTAATAGCGTGCTATGACATTTGTATATTTTTGCGTGTGATTTTGTAAGCAAGTAGTTTTTAGGTGAGGTGAAATTTGGGGGTACTCAAGACAAATCAGGGGGGTACAGTAGTCTGGAAAGGTTGAGAGCCACTGCCTTCAACAGTAGAACCTCAGAGTTATGAACACCAGAGTTATGAACTGACCACTCAACCATATACCTCATTTGGAACCGGAAGTATGCAATCAGGCAGCAGCAGAGACCAAAAAAGCAAATACAATAGAGTACTGTGTTAAATGTAAACTACTTTTAAAAAAAAAAAAAAAAAAGGAAAGCAACATTCTTCTTCTGCATAGTAAAGTTTCAAAGCTGTATTAAGTCAATGTTCAGTTGTAAACTTTTGAAAGAACAACCATAATGTTTTGTTCAGAGTTACAAACATTTCAGAGTTGCGAACCTCCATTCCCAAGGTGTACATAATTCTGAGGTTCTACTGTACTAAGTTTGACTTCCAAAATGAAGCGAACTCAGGTGGAGACTATATAGAGTGCACCAGACTGGTATGTCTAGAGAATAGATCAGAATGAAGTCAATTTGTCTTAAGTGTGATGGTGCTTAATAGTTAGTTCAGCTTCCATCAAATGTATCAAAGCTATTCATTCACTCAGCAGTTGAAAAATAAAGATGATAAAATTATTACTGATCAAATGTTATTGGCACTTGTAAAGTTACCTAACAAGCGCCATGGGATATAGTGCTGGTCTGTTTAATCTATTTTTTCAGTACTCAAGAGGGCTCTGCAATATTAAATATCTGTGTATTGCAACAAGGGGCTTTTTAAACTTGAAAGTAGTAAATAAAGGGACCAGCTAGAGTCAGTTATGAAAGATCATCTCTCTAGCTGAATTGAACAGGCTCAGCATGCAATCTTTTGCTTCAGGTTGACAAGCAATCCAAAGAGACATACATTCCCTGAATCCATTTGAGAAGCAATTGTACCTTTGAAACTTAAGGGACAAACAGAGGGAAAATATGATTGTGGCCAGCTGAGAACAATTGTGTCTGGTTTGGTTTTAGATACTGGAATAAGCCATGGAGTTCAGAATAAATCTGTTGCAATCTTATTTATGTTTTCTGGGGAAAATTTTTTTTTTCACCCAGCAGAAAACAACGTACTTGTTTCACAGACCTGGCAGAAGACATGCTGGGGCCTGAAGAAACCCCTCTTCATCTTATCCATTGCAGAAAGTTATTAATCACAGTTAACAGTATATGCATGAATGATTATAAAGATCTGAGACACAAAGAAAAGAGCTACTGGATGGTAACGCCTCATACCAGGGTCTCGTATCCCCAGGCTAGATGGTTCAGAGACAGATGGATCTTCAGCATTCTGGCTCGTCCCCTGATGGGACAACAGCAATTCTTCTGCATCACTCAGCTGGTCTGTTCCTGCACCTGAGTGGGCTGTAAGCACTACATCATTAGTTCAAGGCCAACACACTTCCCATAGGAACACCTGACAGGTGGAATTTCCCCACCAACATCACAAATGAAACACACGTAAAATGAAACCTAAAAAGTACTGGACAGTTGTTCAGTTCTAGCCTAGACAGAATGCCAGGTTGCCACAGCTTTGTGCTTATACATACATAAAAGGCTGGATTTTGATCTCATTTACACTGGCATAAGCCTGAAGTAACTCCTTGGAAGTCGTTCCCAATCAATACTGGTCCATCAGAGATCAGAATCTAGTTACTAAAATCATTGGCTCTTTCCCAAGCAGATGCTATGGAACAGGGTTCTATACTCCTTTAGCCCTAACACTGCCCTGCAATGTGGATAATGTCACCCACTGGAGACCCCATATTTATCTTGGTTCCACACAAACCTGAAGGGGTTTTGTTTGCTCATTCTTTAATTTGGCTAATCACCATTGGCATCAGAAACAAAGGATCACACCCTTGAGGTTTTAGAAAGCTTTGTAGGAGTTCAAACCAAATTAAAGCCCCACATTTCCTCATCTAGGACTTTCATGGTGAGCCATATAGAGAACTTGTCCTGTGGAATTGAGACTAGGATGGTAAATAGTTGGGAAATCAGCATCTCCACAGAAGAAGCTTCCATTCCCACAGAACTCTTACTTCAACGTTTTCCACAGAGAAACAAGCTAGAGACCCCACCCAGAGCATAGCAAATATGTTCTCCTTGCTTTTAAACTGAATTTTGTTACCACTGAATCTCCAGAAAAATGTTTTCCGCTCCCTTCCACCACTAGTCTAAAGGCCCTGAAGGACTCCAGAAAGAGGAAGCAGCATTCAAAGTCTTCTGATTGGGGTAAATACCTCTTATTTATAACTAGGCCCATGCTTGGTGGGTTGGATGTTTAGACAAGGGACTCCTGGATGCATATGCCTAAGGGCACTGTTGTCTTAGCAACATGTCAGGACTGTTGTAAGCAGTGGAAAATATACAGGCTTTCATGGGAGATGACCACTGATTTAGGTGGGGAGAGAGGCAATGCTAACAAGGGAGGAACAGCAAGCACCATAATGGAGTGGAAGAAATAGCAGAGAACTAGCTATGCTAGATAGTCTCACAGCTCATTATAGCATCATTTCCAGCCAGGCTTGGCAGAATTTGATTTATTATTTTTTTTATGATTTCAACAGAAAATGTTTATTTTTAATTTTTATCCATTTAAATTTCAGCTTCCCAAAATTATCAGGGGAGTCAGATAATTATTAGAGGACAGTAGACATCAAGATTCAAAAACTAAAGCCTTATAACCATTAAAAACCACAAACTGGCATCATCCCATGTCAAAAATATACAAAGTAAATATCAAATCAAATTCAGTTCCCAAAGAGCATTTTTCTTATTTTGCCTATCTGTTAATTTAAGTTATTGATGGAAATATTTCTCATCATTTGTGTGTGTACAGTGAAACTGACATCCACTGATCCTCCAAGTTTATTTATAGTGATAGTCAGGTGAAAAACATTTGTAAGTTGCTTTGAGAGCCACAGGATTCCCCTGCACAATGTTACCTTCCTGACATCTTCTGCTCTGGAGAATTTACTGTGCTTCCAAGATGCACCATTTTACCCCTCTCCCCCATAACATATTCATTAGTATTTTAACTAATAAAGGAGGACACAGAGGAAGGCTTTATGCACACAAAGAATATCAGCTGGGGAACATTGCTCTGAGACACAGCTTGTTCAGAGCTTTCTTAGGTCACCAGTTTAAGTGAGTTTAGTGGACTCAGCCTATTTGTCATCATTTGTACACATCTGCAAAGCCACATTACAGTTTAGCTTGACTGGGGATGTCTCCTGAAGAAAGAAGAAAAAGAACAGGTGCTGTAGCAGATAAGCAGTACAGGGAAGGGGTAACAGCTGCTCCTACTCAAGTTATGGCAGTTTATATAATTGATCATGCAGAATTTCTCTAGTTCAGTGGTTCTCTAACTGTGGGTCAGGACCCCAAAGTGGGTCACAGCCCCATTTTAATGGAGTCTCCTGAGCTGGCTTAGAGTTGCTGGGGCTCAGGCTAAAGCTGAAACCCAAGCCCCACCACTCAGGGCCAAAGCCAAAGCCTAAGGGCTTCAGGTCACAGACCCCTTGCCTGGGGCTGAAGCCCTTGGGGCTTTGGCCCTGCCACCCAGGACAGCAGGGCTCAGGGAAGCTCAGGCTTTGGTCCCCCCCTCCCAGGGTCATGTAGTAATTTTTTGTTGTCAGAAGGGGGTTGCAGTGCAATGAAGTTTGGGAATCCCTGCTCTAGTTAACCATTGCATGGGGCGATCAGGTACTGACACAGTTGAGATGCCAAGAAAATACACACACTATATAGCCCATTCCTATTAAACTTGACTACATTTCATCATAGATATCAGCCACCAAGAGACAAAAATATAAGGGGAACATTTATGGAGCAAGCCAACCACAGATGATTTTGAAGTGGTGTTGGCTTCATGGTCTGACATTTGGTAGCATAAACTTTGAGCTTTGACCAAGTTTCTCACTTAGTTTGGAGCTTGGCTCACACGTTGTAAAGTCACATGGCACAAGCCTGTGTTGAGACATAAATTGGTCTATACAGAGGGGCTTGGGGTTCTTGCCTCTTCTCTAGATTGAGAAAGTAACCCTCTAAAGTCCTTCAACTCCATTATGGCCTTATGAAAATGCTCAATGAGAATTCCAGCACAGCCTCCCAGACAAAGCTCTGCCTAGCCCAACACCAAGGCTTCTTACAGTCTCTGCTTTCATGCCCTTGAGCTGGAACAAGGAGGGACTCACTTACCACATTGAGTGAAGAGAAAGACAAACAGGAGGAATTGCATAGATGCTCCCATGGCCACATGAAAGTACACTAAAGCCAAGTTACCACCCCCAGCCAGCAAAAACCAAAGAGGGGTGGAGTGTTCAAAGACAAGAGTCTAACACAACAAATCTTTCCCCTCTGCACTACTTTGCTTTTCACTACCCCCCTGTAAAAAGGCTAAACCTTCCCACAGCTGCAGCTCCAAGGCCAGGATTCCTTAATAGATGGGGGGGGAGGTGAATCAGCCTCAGCAGGTGGAGTCATAGGGCTGCAAATCAGCCACCTGTAGAGAGGGTCCCAATCAATTTCTATCTAGACCCCACCCTCCTCTTTCAGGCCTGCCCCCTTTTCCTCCCTTTCTTCCTCTCCATTAGGCCTTATGGGGAGCCCTATTGAATAGGTGACCCCATCAGCAGTAGCAGAATATTCCCGCAGGATCTATGCCCCTCTACAGAGATTGCACTGTAAGCAATAGTGACTGCTTTCTGCATCGGTTCCCCTCTTTCTCCCTGTCATTATCACCCCCGGGCTCTAGCCTTCCTATTTTGAAATATGCCCATTCTTTACCTTTTCATGCTAAGTAGCTGACTGAGAAATAATTTAGCTCCCTAATCCCCTGTTATGACGCTAGTCACCATTCGCGGGAGTGGGGCAGCGATGCAGAGTGGGAGCATGGCACTTTCTAACAAGGTTGCCTCCTTTATTTATAGCTACCTAGGAGGTCTGAAGGCATCATGGTGGCTTTAGCTCACCCTTCTGGGAGAACAGGAAATGGTCTTTTTGAAAACTAACCTTTTTACACAACTTACCTGTTCATGACACAATCATGAAGGGTTGTATAAAGGTGGGCATAACTATCCACCTTTTACAGGGGAAACAGGCATGTAGAGCAGGGACTGGTCTTGTTATGTGTTTGTGTAGCATCCAGCTTGCCGCGCCTTGTTCCTCTGGGCGCTACTGCTGTAGAAACATCATCACCCCCAGATCCTCAAAGGTATTGAGGCTCCTAACTCCCATGGCAGAGTCTGGGAGGCTGTCATCAGAGTCTCATCTTCACCTCAGCTGGTCTTCGCTGTACCCATCTTCCACTGGTTTCAATTGGACTGAAGGGGGAGGAAGATGCCAATCAGGCTTGCCAGGTAGCCTCGCAATGCTGCCCATCTCTAGGCATTCACCTCCTCCCATGGGAGTCTTGAGAAGCAGAAGAAGCAAGCAAAGAAAAGAGTAGCAAACCCTTTCCACCTTTCACCTCCTCTCCACCTCATGAAGCAGAGTAACGCTCTGGGCCTAATCTGCATCAAGTGTAAGTCTAAACAACTCGATTTAAATCATAGAGTCAAAAAGCTTAAAGCCAGACAGGACCACAAGCTCATCTGCTCTGACCTCTTATCTAGCACAGGCCAACAATACCACCCAGCACCAATGCAAAACCCAGCACCTGAAATGAGACCAAAGTATTACAGCCCTACAGGAGATGAGACTATGATGTGCCACAGGCAGAGAATAGGAGGGACCGAGGTGCATCAGTGCCCAAGGCCCCCGCAATGGCAGGGAAATGATTAAGTGAGATGTACCCAGATAATCCTGGCAAGTGACTCGCACCCACATGCTGCAGAAGGAGGTGAAAACACTCCATGGTCCCTGCAATCTGACCTGGGGGAAAATTCCTTCCCAACCCCATCTATGACTTTCATTCAGACCCTGAGCATGTGAGCAAGAATTAGGGTGACCAGATGCCCCGTTTTTAAAGGGACAGTCCCGTATTTAAGCCCTCCTGCAGATGTCCAGACTTTTTATTAAAAGCAGACAAATAGTCCTGTATTTTCTGTCTCCCCCCCCTCAGTATTGCTGGCCAAATCCCTGCTCGCCAGCCGCTCGCCCATCAGTGGTGAGTGGTGGGGTCCAGTGGCTGACGAGGGGGTTAGGGGTGCGAGGCTTGTGGCGGGGTGAAGATGCAGTGTGAAGGTCTGGCCACTCCCTCTGCTGGTCTGTCAGCGCAGCCCCCGATGCGTGCCAGCTCTCAGCCAGCAGGGCCCCATCCCGTTCCTGGCCGGCACTGGCTGTGAGCTGCGGTGGCTGGTGAGTGTGGGCAGGTGCCAGAGGGCCGCAGTGACAGCTTACATGTTGCCACTGCTGCTCATCCATCCGCCCTTTACATGCTCCCCCTCTTGCTGTCCTCTCCCTGCTTTGCCCCTTGGCTCCCCTCCCAGCCCCACTGCTCCTCCATAACCCCCCTGGTGGGACATGTCCCACTCCCAGCACTGTGCAGAGAACCAGCCCCTGGTCAGAGCACTCAGCACACCAACAGCCTGCCTGTCAGGCTCCTTCCTTCCCCCACTGCCTCTGGCTGGGCCGGTGCCCGGGGAAAGCCCAAGACCTTTTGGCCCGGGGCAGTGGCCAGGGGGAGCCGAGCCCTGCATGTTGCAAAGCCCCGCACAGCGCTGGCATGGGGAAGCCTCTCTGCCCCTCAACTAAGCTCTGGAGTGGGAGGGGGGAAGTGATTTCCAGCCTGTTCACGCCCCAAATCTGCAGGCTCCGCAGCAGCCCCCAGGGCAGGGGCTTAGAACCCTCTTCACCCGCGTCTCCCCATCCCGCCCTGGGTCCTGCTCCCAGGGAGCGTGGCACTGCACCATCCCTTAGGCACCCTCCTCTGCTGAGCCACCTCTCTGGCCAGGTTTACTGAAGCAGTCAGGTTCCCCCGGCCCTGGTGCACAGTGCATCCTTATGGCTTAACCGCTTCCTGCCCACAATGTAGCTGGGGGACAGGAGGTGGCTGGGTTATAGGGGTGGCCAGCCTGGAGGTGTTAGCTGCCTTTCAACACTATGTGGGCAGGAAGGGACAAGCTGCTTCCAGCCACATGGGAGGGGGGCAGGGGAAGAAGACAAGACCTCTGCAAAGACACAGACCAGGTCATGCCTTCTCCTTCTCCTCCTCCTCCTCTGCAGCTGGAAGCAGCTCATGTCCCTTCCCTCCTGCACAGTGCTGAAAGGCTGCTGCTGGCCACATTCTGGTGTGAACCCTGTCAGAAATCTGGGGAGGGGGGGTATGTGACCCTGCATGCCCCCGGCCCACGTGTTGCCTCGGGAAGTCGCGGTGCCAGGTACCAGGGAAGGCGGGTCCATCCCAGGGACACAGACAGGCATGGAGGGTGGAGAGCGCTGGGCAGGGAGGGTCAGGTCAGTCGGTCACCTCACCCTGTGTGAGAGAGGTGTACAGGGGTGTGTGTATCACCTCTCCCCATGCGCGTGTGTGTGTGTCAGTCACCCCTCCCCATGTGAACAGTAAACCCTTAAAGAGAAGAAGATAAATAAAAAGAATCCAACTACACAGTATTTCTTTTTAACAGGGGCTCAGTCAACTTGATGTTAATTTGAACATTTGTATGATTGATTGCCACTGAACTCACTTGAATACAAGTAATTTTACCAGGTGTCCCATATACAGTATAGGCAAATATGGTCACCCTAGCAAGAACCAACCAGCCAAGCACCTGAGAGAAAGAGACTGCTCGGTACCATCTCGGAACCCTGGCCCTCTCTCCCTTCCTCCTCCCCCCGCCCCTGTCCCATCTCCAACCATGGCCATCCCTGTGCTGTCAGAGGAAGGAGATTTTTTTAAAAACCCTCCCTGAATACCCAGGGGAAAAATCCCTTTCTTTCCCAGATGGTGGCTGGCTGAAACCCTGAAGTGTGAGCTACAGAACATAATAGTGAGCCACAGGGCTATTGAACCCTGCCCCCTACCATCAGATACACCACCATCAGACAATTGCACTCATAAATTTGTCCAGCTTGCTCTTAAAACTGAGTTGTTTACTCCCAGAACGCCTACTGGAAGGCTGTTCCAGATCCTCAGCCTTAGAAACCTCATTTAATATCCATCCGGGATTTGTTCATGACCAGCTTAGATCCACTTGTTCTCATTTGGCCCTTAGCTTAAATAGCTCTTCACCCTCCCTGGTATTTAGCACCCTAATTTATTGATATCCACTCTCAGCTTGCTTTTTGCTAGACTAAACAAGCCAAGCTCTTCCAGTCTCCTCTCATAAAACAGGCCCTCCATTCCCCTGATCATTATAATAGCTCTTCCCTGCATCTGCTCCAGTTTAAATTCATCATTGAACATGGGTGACCAGAATTGTACACAGGATGCCAGATGAGGTCTTACCAGTACCTTGCACAATGGCATTAATGTTTCACTATTGGAAATGCCTCGCCCTGGTACATCCTAGGATTGAATTTGCCTTTCTCACAACCGCATCGCATAGGTAGCTCAGAATCATCCTGTGATCATCCCACACCCCTAGGTCTCTCTCCTCCTCCTGTCACTGCCAATATGAATCCTCAGCTTGTAGGAGAAATTATTATTATTAGACCCCAAAAGACCTTGTAATTTGTATTATTGCATTTCACCCCATTTCTGTCACTCCACTCTTCAAGGCCAGCCAGCTCTTCCAGTGTAATGTTCTGCTTCTCCTCTGTTTTGATGATGCCTCCCCAACTTAGTGTCATCAGCAAATTTCATTAGCAAAATAGTCATTAATAAAAACGTGGAGTAAGATTGGTTCCAAGACTGATCACTAGTAACCTTCCTCCACTCTGATAAGTTAATGGAGCTATGCCAGTTTACACCTGCTGAAGATCTGGCCCTATAATTTTATGTGGGTGTCTATCTGTTGTCATTGTGCAGAGGCCTGTGCCCTAAGGTGGTTAGGGTAACAAAAAGCCAACTCGGCTTCCATAGCATTGTTTATGAAAGTCAGTGAACGTTGGAAACAGTCAGACTGGGGCAAGCTAGATTGTTCAAGTTAGAAGAACTTGTGATAAGGGCTATTCAAGGCCCCTGCTAAAGTCATTCGCTGGCATAACAAATAAGCTGAACAGTTCTAGAAATGGGAAGAAATGTTTAAAGTCAGCAAAATATAGTTTGATTGGTTCCTTTCAATGGGCTGAGATTGTCCCCTCCCTTCTTGGACACTGTTTATCCGTGTGGGCTGGAAGAGGGAAGTTTTACCACATGCACAGTCTCCTGGATCACCAGAATCCACCATGACACCCTTGAGCCTTCACTGTTCTGATCATGAAAGGCATCCTTAGCAGAGCAGGCCAACAGGAGGGAACCAGCTAATACCACCACCTCCACTGGCTTCAGCTAAATTCTGAACAACATCCAGGATGCGAGCCATAGGTCGTAGGCCTTCCCTCATGTTGTTTTCCTTCGATAACTTATTTCTTCTCTTTCCTATCTCGGTCCTTTTGTCTTCTGTCTAAGAAGAGGCTGGCTTGCCTGGCCAAGACAACCTTTGAAGCTCTGCTGTGACCCTGTGACCAGAAAGGCATTCAAGGTAATGCCTTAAACAGCCCAGTACTGATAAAAGCCTGCCAGGTCTGCCGTGCAGATAAGATTGTGTGCTGGGCCTGCGTGTCTCCAGCAGCGATGCTGCAGGTGGAAGCACAAGACACAGACACTGCACGTTCTAATTTTGCTATTCTTTTCCCTCCCCCTGTGTGCGCTTGCTTCATTTTGGCGTAAAGAAAATAGGATACAACCACCACATCAGCTCCAGGCCAGCATAGCTAACGTTTTCTATTTCCTCCCCATAAAAGGCCAGGTAATGCATGAAGTGTACATGATTAAAGGACATCCTTAATACCATCTAAAAACCTCTCAAAGCAGGGGGGGGAAAGACACTACATGACTAAAGGGAACAGGGGATAGTGTTAAAATGAAAGCCTTACTTAATACATTTCAAATGCTTTAAATCTATTTTTGTGTATGTAATAAAAAGATTACTAGATTTGGAATGATGGCTGTTACAGTCGAAATAAGCCAGTGATAACATAAACCCCAAACTACCCTAAACTATTTAACAGTTGTAACAGTGAACAGGGGGTTTATTAACATCTTGTCCCTGGTTGTACCAGAGACACCCACGCATCAACACCACAGTGTGACACAAAAAGTCCCCCACAGATTTGATGGAGTCAGAAAATTGATTCAGTTTCCATCCTGGGCCATTTTCAGATTTCTAGTTCCTAATTGGGATGATTTAGTTGGGGATTGGTCCTGCTTTGAGCAGGGGGTTGGACTAGATGATCTCCTGAGGTCCCTTCCAACCCTGATATTCTAGGATTCTATGATTCTAATTCATTTCAGTCTGTGAGATTTACAATGCTGTTTCCTTATTTGAAAATCCCATCTTGTCACCCCTCTGGGTAACTGCAGATTAAAAATGCATTGCTTCGGCAGAGAGAGAGAGAGAATGCTAGAGCTGGCTTTGATTTGTGTTAAATAAATCAAGAGCAGGCATGGTTTGGATCTGGATCCCATCGTACCCAACCAACCCTTGGGAGAGTCTGGTAGTTAGTTCTACCAGTTCTACTCAGGACCTATTAGCTCAGGCTCTGACTAAACTTTCCAGGCTATGGAAATACGGGCTGTATTTTATCTGCCCATGTCAGAACAATTATAGTTGCGAGACTAATAATCTCATGCCTTAAGCAACAGTGTATGTAGAAAGAAAATAATATATTGTGCAGGTGTGGTGAGTCAATTCTCTGTTTTGGATAATAGCTTCGGGGCAGCAACAAATAACAGACCTAACTGCACAGTGCCCTGGGATTCAGATATTATCTGTCCACAGTTGTGCACAGTAAATCTAGAAATTAGTATAGGTTAGTCAGCATACAGGCACACGTGCAGCTCATTATCCAGAAATAACATGTGCCTCCCCAGCATTGGCTTACCCATCCCGGAAGCCTTTGGCTCCCCCAGTTTATGGGCTGAGGCACCTTTACAAAGAGGAGTTGCAAAAACAGGGGGTTTTGAAATGCTCGTCTGTCTTACAATAAGTGTTTAAAGGACAAAGAAAATATATTCTGCTCTAAATGGGCTGGATTCTGCTACTATTCTCACCCCTCCTGCTAAATAGCATCCTTGATTTCACTGGGGTACTTGCAGACTAAGGTACTACTTCAACATGAGTAAAGGGCGGGGCGGGGGGGAGGAAGTGGGCTATTAGTTATGGCAGCAGTCACCAGGGAATGCTGTTATACATGTGTGCCTTAGCATGTGAGCAGTGTACAATTGTTGAGGAAATGTGTGAATTGTTAGTTTTGTCATGCAGTTTCTTCTTAAGTGGGCTATGGCAAGCAGCAAGGGAGTTTTGCTGTCTGCCTTAATCTCTAACTGGAGCCAATTTTGGGGAGAGAGTCCTTCTCTGGGAAGTGGGCATTCACATTTGAGCTGAGATTCTTGAAAAGAGAGTTTGTGAGCATACTGTCTGTGACCACCTATGTTCCAGGACTGATGTAGTTAGCATAAAATAAACTGCATTAAAAATATACCTAGACTCCACGTCACTGATGTCTCCACCAGGAAGTCAAACTGCAAGGCCCCAACATCTGCTCCCACTCAGCAGAGTAGGAATTATATATTTAGACTTGCACATGGAGCTTGAACATTCTGTGGAAAAATTCTCAGAAGTTACTCTTGTGGAGTTTTACCTGGAAGTGTCCCCTTTGGTGGGAGGAGTTAAGGGGGCTGTGGATTTTGGAGGCCATGTCCCTCAGCCCAGCAGATGTGTGTGAAGGGACAGGAGCAATCCTGACAAGGTGGCTGTTGCTTTAGTGCTCCCCTGAAGCCCTTCCATCTGTGGTGGTATGACATCAGCAAAAGCAGCAACACCACGGGATGGGTTCATCAGTGGCTGTTCTGCAGTAGCCATGAAGGGGATACAAAGGGAAGTGAAACAGCTCTGTGCCCTGTTCAACATCCTCCCACTCTGCTTTTGCCATCTGCAGTCTATGGAGCCTCAGACCCCTGTCAGACAACAGAGGGAAGATGATCCTGTGCTAAAGGGGGAAAGCCACACATGATCCACTTGGGAGGATCTGGACCATGTTTTATCAGAAGTTTAGTGCTGCACAGTGTGACAGGAAGGTCTATAGGCACAATGTTGACCTCTTGAGTGGTTTAGCCAACAAGCTTCATTAACAAATATTTTGCCACCTAAGGACTGAAGAATGTTAAGGGGTACGTTCCAACTTCAGAATGCACATGCAAGTTCCCTAAAGGGGATTCACACACACAATGAGGGCAGAACACAGAATAGCTTGCGCACATGGCTTTAGATTTTCAGGCTGACTGGAAATAGGCTTTCAGCAAAGATGCCTATTATCGCCTGTATTGTGATAGTGCCCAGAGGCGCTGGGGTCCCATAGTGCTAGGTGCTCTACAAACATATGCAATGGCATGGTCATTGCTCTGAAAAGCTGACAACCTCAGGCAAGAAGTTTAGATGAGATGAGATTCTATTTCCTGTTTTTCCCTCCTCCATCTCTTTTTCTTTCTATTCTGTAGCCCTAAGCCAATCGGATACATTTCCTCCAGGTATCTCCTAATCCATATAACCTATCGCTGTAGTAATGTGTTTATTAACAGATTAATTGTTGATGTTGCTTAAGTACATACCAGCTGTTGCCATTTTCCCACATGCAGCCTTTGATTGTTGTCCCATTTGCTATTTATTATGGACCAGATTCTGATACTTCTACTGAAGAGCACCCTCCTCTATAAGCAGTCCCATTGAAGTTAATAGCACTATTTGTGCAGTAAGATGCTACTCAGCAGAGTGAGGGGGTAGAATGTGATCCTAAGTAAAAAAAATCCATTGGTGGTTTATCGAAGGACATAGGCGAACCCCACACCTGATAGAACAAAACCAGACACAGTAATTTGTTTGCTCACTTTTATATAAAATAGACATTTACATACATTTTCTTTTGGAAAGACTTCTCCGATCATAACTCCATTAGGCAAAAACGTATCCCACAGTGAAAAAGCAAAGGTTTTTCAAAATACTGTACGACTGACATACATCCAGCTGCTTAAAAGTGTGAATTTAATTTGTAAACATTTCTAATTAGTGGGCTTTTAAAAAATAAGATATGCATAACTGATACAAACATAGGCACAGAAATAAGAACCATATGAACAACAGTCAATGCAAATAACTCCTCCATGATAGAAGGAAAAAGCAGCATGGCAACCACTTCAGGCAAAGAGATTTCTATAGTAATACATTTGTAGAAGCTGTAACTTTCGTAGAGGATGCTGCTGGGGCAAATTTCCCAGAAGAAAGAAGTTTTCAGCAAGTCGGTATAAACATGGCAAGGAATTTTTCCACAAAGTGATAAAGATCACCTTATGCAGCTTTGCCACATTAAAACACTATTGTAGACCAAGCAATTTTTCTTTTTGCTGCTCCGTTTAAGTGTACATGAAAGAAAACTCCTACATTAGAAAACTATTGCATGAGTCCCCATAAAGTAAAAATCCCTTAGGGCTAGATTTTCAAAAGGTTGTCATCTTCACATGTGAAAAGCAGGAATGGGGTGTGCAATAAAATGCACAGAAATTTCAAGCAGGTGCAAACACACATGTTGACTTCAACAGAATTAAACATGCACTATGTGTATATTGAGCATATACAAAACAGCTCGAAGTATGAGCTAGTAACTAAAACCTGTGTGTCTTAAATCACGAGAAAAATAGTTTACGCAATATTGGCCTGATTTTCAAAGGTGCTGAGCAGCTACAGTTCCTGTTCATTTTAGGTAGAGTTGTAGGTGCTCAATCTCTGAACGTTAGAATTTATATGCATGAGAGAGGGCACAACTTTGCGTGAGCATCTATGTGTTCCCTCGCTCTCTCATCTTTTATTTGTGGTCTATTTCAGTCTGAAATGAAGGCCATTTTCTCTGATGCACATACGTGTTGCTTGGCCAAAACGACTTGCCTGGACATTTTTATAAAAATCTAGCCAAAACGTCCAAGTGAAGTATAAAAGTGTCCTTCCTAAATCCTTTCTTTTGAGAGATGGCAGTAGGGGAGGAGCAAAGAATGTTGGATTTGAAATAAGCAGGATGTAATAAAAAAAACCCCCAAACCCACAACAAAACAGAATGACAGCTTTTTAGTTTGCCATTTGAGATTGAAATATATAGTTAGCACAAAAGTCCTATCTTTCCAGCTCTGGGTTAATTCTCCACTTTGGATTAAGCTGATGTGCATCTGTAGACGTGTGTTTAGATAATGTCACTTCAAAAGGGAAAGAGCTAGCCACTGCCTGTTAAGGTTTTCAGCAAAATATGCATTCATAATTCGTACTAAGCATGCTGAGTA